GGCTTTCGTTATGTTAGGTTACGTTTCTTATATTTAAACAACGTAAAGTAATGTCCATGACAAAACAAACCTAATGTTGAACGCTTTCAGGAATAAATTATGGCTAAACTTACATAAGGACCGAATCTCTATAATTACCCATATATATAATACATTATTTAGATTAATGTACTATAACTCAGTGTTGTTTATTTCCATGGGAGTGCATAATAACGTGTAAAATTGAATTGAATTGAAAAACAAGCATTGTAGAATATTTGTCCTGTGGCTCGGTTGATAGCGCACACAGCTCACAAACTGTGTCCATGGTTCGAACCCCGGCACAAGTGGAAACGTTGGCATGTTTCCTTAAACCTGCCGTCACTGTTCACCTAACACTAAGTAGGTACCTAGGTATTAGCCGAATGGTGTGGGTGGCATCCTGGGGGACAAGATTAAAGCACCACAATGGAAATAAGATACAGTCGTCCATGACGCACTTACTTTAATGGGGGTTATCATGAATGGCTAACCCCCTGGGTTAAAAATACAAACAAAATCTTATTAAAAAAAAAAATAAAGATAACAACACTATACAATACACATTAAACTGGAGTTTCCTGTTTACATTTTTTTTAGTTTACATTGGGGCGTTGATGTACAATAATAAGGTTAGTTTTCTTAAGATACGCTTAATTAATATGTTGTGAGGGGTGGTGTTAGGTTATGTATGTATGTATGAGGTTGTACCATAGGGAAGGTGAGGTTAACTGGTGGGAGAGTGGTGGTAAGTGGCTGGAACTGGTGGTGAGAGGTGGAGTGGGAGGCGCCAGCTGTAGCTTATCTGTGTTGAGGCGAGGAGGAGGAGGCGGTGAGTTTACTGTCTGTGCTGACTTGACTGTGTGTGTGGCGAGGCACTGGATGGTGAGGTGAGGCAGTGACTGGTAAGGTGAGGCAGTGGCTGGTAAGGTGAGGCAGTGGCTGGTGTGGTGAGGCAGTGGCTGGTGAGGCGAGACAGTGGTTGGTGAGGTGAGGCAGTGGCTGGTAAGGTGAGGCAGTGATTGGTGTGGTGAGGCAGTGTTTGGTGTGGTGAGGCAGTGGATGGTAAGGTGAGGCAGTGACTGGTAAGGTGAGGCAGTGGCTGGTAAGGTGAGGCAGTGGCTGGTGTGGTGAAGCAGTGTTTGGTGAGGTGAGGCAGTGGTTGGTGAGGTGAGGCAGTGGCTGGTGTGGTGAGGCAGTGTTTGGTGAGGTGAGGCAGTGGTTGGTGAGGTGAGGAAGTGGCTGGTGAGGTGAGGCAGTGGCTGGTGTGGTGAGGCAGTGGCTGGTGTGGTGAGGCAGTGGTTGGTGAGGTGAGGCAGTGGTTGGTGAGGTGAGGCAGTGGCTGGTGTGGTGAGGCAGTGTTTGGTGAGGTGAGGCAGTGGTTGGGAGGTGAGGAAGTGGCTGGTGAGGTGAGGCAGTGGCTGGTGTGGTGAGGCAGTGGCTGGTGTGGTGAGGCAGTGTTTGGTGAGGTGAGGCAGTGGTTGGTGAGGTGAGGCAGTAGCTGGTGTGGTGAGGCATTGTTTGGTGAGGTGAGGCAGTGGTTGGTGAGGTGAGGAAGTGGTTGGTGAGGTGAGGCAGTGGCTGGTGTGGTGAGGCAGTGTTTGGTGAGGTGAGGCAGTGGTTGGTGAGGTGAGGAAGTGGCTGGTGAGGTGAGGCAGTGGCTGGTGTGGTGAGGCAGTGGCTGGTGTGGTGAGGCAGTGTTTGGTGAGGTGAGGCAGTGGTTGGTGAGGTGAGGCAGTAGCTGGTGTGGTGAGGCAGTGTTTGGTGAGGTGAGGCAGTGGTTGGTGAGGTGAGGCAGTGGCTGGTGAGGTGAGGAAGTGGTTGGTGAGGTGAGGCAGTGGCTGGTGTGGTGAGGCAGTGGCTGGTGTGGTGAAGCAGTGGTTGGTGAGGTAAGGCAGTGACTGGTGTGGTGAGACAGTAGCTGATGACGTGAGACTGGCTGGTAAGGTGAGACAGTGGCTGGTGAGGTGAGACAGTGGCTGGTGAGGTGAGACAGTGGCTGGTGAGGTGAGACAGTGGCTGGTGAGGTGAAGCAGTGACTGGTGTGGTGAGACAGTAGCTGATGACGTGAGACTGGCTGGTAAGGTGAGACAGTGGCTGGTGAGGTGAGGCAGTGGCTGGTGAGTTGGAACAGTGGCTAGTGAGGTGAGGAAGTGGCTGATGTGGCTGATGTGGTGAGGCAATGGCTGATGAGGTGAGACAGTGGCTGGTGAGATGAAGCAGTAGCTGGTGAGGTGAGGCAGTGGCTGGTGAGGTGGAACAGTGGCTGGTGAGGTGAGGCAGTGGCTGATGTGGTTAGGCAGTGGCTGATGAGGTGAGGCAGTGGCTGGTGAGGTGAGGCAGTGGCTGGTGAGGTGAGGCAGTGACTGGTATGGTGAGGCAGTGGCTGGTGAGTTGAAACAGTGGCTGGTGAGGTGAGGCAGTGGCTGGTGTGGTGAGGCAGTGATTGTTGTGGTGAGGCAGTGGCTGGTGAGGCAAGGCAGTAACTGGTGAGGCAAGGCAGTAACTGGTGAGGCAAGGCAGTAACTGGTGAGGCAAGGCAGTATGTGTGAAGTAAGGCAGGCAGTAGAGCGAGTCTTGTCAGTAGTATTTAAGGTACACTATAACATAATGTGTCCGGCAATACAGTTCTAGCCTGTGGGGTAAGATAAGACAAGATGGTAGTATATAAGACAAGGCTTGGCTGACTCTTAATGTGAGGCAGTAGTGTAAGGGAATGGAAGGCAGTAAAATACAGTAAGTTGAAATTCGGCAGTGCAGTAGTTTATAAGATGATGCTTTGGAGTAATATATAAGGTATTGGGAGGCAGTAGAATACAGTATTGTAAGGTATTTTGGCCTGAATTTTAATTCATTAAGTAATTACAAATTTTTAATTCATTTGATGAGTTATTCCACATTTTTTGGCTCTTTATTTGCATAGAATTTCTCAGGTTCTTGAAATGAAAATGAGGGATAGCATAGAGTTATTTGTTCCTAGTGATGCCTAGGTGTGTTCTGTTACAGTTTTCCATAAAGGAACCCAATGGAAATAAATCACTTTGTCTGACTTTCTTGGGTTATCCTAGGTAATCTACACATATGCTACTATGTATGAAAACTTATGTAACTGTATGTATGTGTGCCTTTACCTGAATAAACTTGCTTATAAAATGTTTTGGATCAGCATCAGCATTCCACTATATTGTTTTTAATATGTGGGGTGTACAGTAGTATGTATGAATGACATATTTATACAGCTACAGCAGAAGGTTTAGACTTGACTAAAGGCAATATGTGTGGCTTATAATTAAAGTTTGTGATGGTTCCATGGCTCGGTTGGTAACTTTTTTGCCTTACACAAAGTATCCATGTTTCAACTCCTGGCTGGGTAGAAACATAATAATAATAATAATAATAATTTTTAATAATAATTAATTAATAATAATAATATAATAATAATAATAATAATAATAATATCATTTCTACAAGTACATGTACAAGGTACACAAGCCTAGCAGACATCAATGACACACTGCATTATGTTGGGCATGTTTCTTTACACCTGTTGTCCCTGTTCACCTAGCGGTAAGTACGTACCTAGGTGTTAGTCGACTGTTGTAGATTGCATCCTGGGGAACAAGACTGAAGGACCACAATGAAAATAAAACAGATAATCCTCAATGATGAACCGAGTCTCTTGGGTTATCCTAGGTGGCAAACCCTCCTGGTTAAAATTCCAAACAAATCTTATCTTAACGTGGATTATGGAACATAATGTGTATTGAATTTTAGAGAGTCCTTGTAACTATTGTTACTTTTGTTCATAGGTGTTTACCTGGAGTTTACCTGGAGTTTACCTGGAGAGAGTTCCGGGGGTCAATGCCCCCACGGCCCGGTCTGTGACCAGGCCTCCTGGTGGATCAGAGCCTGATCAACCAGGCTGTTACTGCTGGCTGCACGCAATCCAACGTACGAGCCACAGCCCGGCTGGTCATGTACCAACTTTAGGTGCTTGCCCAGTGCCAGCTTGAAGACTGCCAGGGGTCTATTGGTAATCCCCCTTATGTATGCTGGGAGGCAGTTGAACAGTCTCAGGTCCCTGACACTTATTGTATGGTCTCTTAACGTGCTAGTGACACCCCTGCTTTTCATTGGGGGGATGTTGCATCGTCTGCCAAGTCTTTTGCTTTCTTAGTGAGTGATTTTCGTGTGCAAGTTCGGTACTAGTCCCTCTAGGATTTTCCAGGTGTATATAATCATGTATCTCTCCTGCCTGCATTCCAGGGATACAGGTTCAGGAACTTTAAGCACTCCCAGTAATTGAGGTGTTTTATCTCCGTTATGTGCGCTGTGAAGGTTCTCTGTACATTTTCTAGGTGTTGGATACGAACATTAATTTTCAATTTGTTGCCCACTATTACACAAGAATTTTCCCATCATCATTTTTTTCTACACTGGTTTCATTTATTCTGATATTTAACCATGGATGTGGTTTGTTAGCAAAATTGTATATTTTTTTTCAATGTTAAGGATGAGCTTATGGTCATCATCCAGGTATAAACCTTTTTCCGATCAAAACCAACAACTTTATGAAGTGGAGTACTGTGCAGTTAACAGTTAGGGTAATTGACATGTATAAGCTACTTTATAGAAAGTCCAATGGGATACTTATTTCTTTCAAGTCCTGAAAAAAACTGTTTCATGCATTTTTAAGATTGGATCACTTTTTTTTTTTTAACCCTTAAACTGTCTGGAAAGATCTATGTTCACATGCGTAGTGCTCCAAAAGTAGATCTACGTTTTTTTTAACATATTTTCAAATATAACAAAAAAATGTAGATCAAAGTTTTTTTTTACACGTTTTCAAATGTAAAAAAAGAAAAAGAAGCTCTACGTTTTTTACATACTTTCAAATGTTGAAAAAAATGTAGATCTACGTTTGGACAGTTTAAGGGTTAAGCTCTGAATTCAAATTTGCAAGGATTAAGCATATTGTGCTTTAACCCTTAAACGGTCCAAACGTATATATACGTTCACTCGCGTAGCACCCCAGATTTTTTTAGAGAAAAAAAATTGTCTTTTTTTAATAGGAAAAAAGAGCATATGGTACCCAGGCATCCCCAATTATTTTAATATGGCATGCAGTGAGTGCACACACCCATTCTCTCATGTCTAGGTGACTCAGGCTTATCGTGGCAATGTTGAATGAATGACAAAGAAAACGTATATAAACGTTTGGGGTGCTACACGCGTGAACGTATATATACGTTTGGACCAGTTTAAGGGTTAAAGAATAAAAAGGCATAATTCGGTGACTGGAAAAATACACAGATACCCTGCACATATGAGAAAGAAAATTATGACCACATTTCAGTCTGACTTGCGGTTGTTTGTATATGTTGTGCTTTAGTTGAGAACGTGAGTGTACAGCTGTATGTCAATTACTTCCTCAAATATTTATGATAGTTTGGTAGGTTAGAAATTGGTCTGTATGTGTACATATTAACAGTTGGATCATCACCTTTTGTGGAGGGGTGTTATCCTTGCAAATTTTAGAAGAATGTCAGGAAAAATTTGCTCAAGTGATTTATTGAAAAGAATTGTAGTAATATCTGGAGATAATCCTACTTGTGCACCTTTTTGCAGAAAATTTATAGGTATTTCAGTTGTGCTGTTAGCTGCTTTTTTAAATGAAATCAGTACCTGACCAGCTGGGCTGTCGGCTCATGTGTCGGTTTGCATGCGGCCAACAGTAACAGCCTGAGTGATCAGGTCCTGATCCACCCTGAGGCCTGGTCACAGACTGGGCTGTGGGGGCGTTGACCCCCAGGACCCCTCTCCAGGTATACTCCAGGTATTTCTGCAGATGTGGTAGGAGTCAAGCATCCAAAAGGAGTCAGGATAATTGCCTATCAGACAGCTGCTGTTTTATATACAGTACAACCATTCTCATAAGACTTTTTAATTTTTCAGAAGTACAATATTTTAAATGCAATTTATTAATTAACTTGAATTAATCATGTTTCTTACTTTTGATTCTTGAAGTCTCTGGAGCAGCAGAATGGAGCACCCAGTAAACAAGCCTAAGATTATAGGATACTGGTTCAACGAGAAAAAGTGCCAAAAATTTGGAGTAGCAGAATTGAATGCTGAATGCAAGTGAGTGTCTGGGAAGAAATCTGTTTTATAATATCCACTGCATTAGGTTTTTAATATGTAGTGTGAAACATATTTCATTACTTAAAATGTGAGGAATCTAGTGTTTGGCTATCTTAAGCTTTCAGAATATTTTCCTGGACACATTTCTCTCAAAATATTGTATATACTGTAGTTCCTCATATCCTGAGTTTTACTGCATTTAATTGGATGAGTTGGGTACAGCATCTGGGCATTTTTGTAAAATTCTGTCCCCACAATTTAAAAAGTAAATTGGAAGAACAACAAATTGCTAATTTTCTGATCATACTGTATATACAGCATATTCATATCAGTGAAATGGTTATAGTCAATTACATATTGTTGAAGGTAATATCTCCAGCCCAGCTCTCTGATTGGATGATCACAGAAAAGAAAAAAACTACCATGTGAAAGCAGCAATAGTATTCATGAGGACTATTGAAGTTGTATTTAATTTCATGTTCAATTTTTTTTAATCTTTTCTTTTTCATATAGTATTTAAGTGATATTCTAAATTGAAAACTGCAGAGGCTTAAGATTGCTAAAAATTGGTCCAATATTGAACATAAACTTGAACATTTCTTATTTATTGTGACATAAATTGACAATAAAATACATGGTCTATATTCTCTGATATATATATATAATATTTCAGTAATAAGTTGCATATAATATTATAGTACTTTATTCTTTATTTCAGGAGAAGAGGAATAGAACTTGTCAAGGTAATTTTAGAGTGTGTGGAGGAAAGAATGAGAATATACACAGTTATGGTATTATTAACCTGTGATGCACTGGAGTATGTTGTAAGGAAAGGTTACCCAGTGCTGTTAACCTTTGGACAGAAAGAAATGAATCGGTGAAAATATACTCTGTACTGTACTTTTTTCACTATCTCAGATAAGATGAAGATTGATATGATGATGGAAAAACTAACACCTGTATAAACTGTGTGTGTTTTGTATCTTGTTATCCTCGTGTAGTAATGCACTATATTTTATCAGTATAGTATATCTTCTGTGAGTTAGTGGAAATGATAGGAAACTTTTATAGTTGTATGTAGTGTATGAGTCAGTGGAAATGATAGGACACTTGTATAGTTGTGTGTAGTGTATGAGTCAGTGGAAATGATAGGACACTTGTATAGTTGTGTGTAGTGTATGAGTCAGTGGAAATGATAGGACACTTCTATAGTTGTGTGTAGTGTATGAGTCAGTGGAAATCACGGTAGGAAACTTGTATAGGTGCATATAGTGTGTCTTGTTCTTTTTGTCTATCCTGTTTGTATGGTCACAGTATCTGTGCACATGTGATTACCTATTTGTAATCAAATATGTATACACTTACAAACATGAGCACACGAGTATGTGTGTGCGTGTAGTGTGCGTGTGTGTGTGTGCATGAGTGTGTACTCACCTAGTTGTACTCACCTAGCTGTGGTTGCAGGGATCAAGTCACAGCTCCTGTCCCTGCCTCTTCACTTGCCGCTACTGGGTCACTCTTCCCACTCCATGAGCTTTATTATCCCTCTTCTTAAAGCTATGAATGGATCCTGCCTCCACTACAAAACTTACCAAACTATTTCACTTCCTGACTACACTGTGACTGAAGAAATATTTCCTAACATCCCTGTGATTCATCTGAGTCTTCAACTTCCATCTGTGACTCCTTGTTGCTGTGTCCCATCTCTGGAACATTCTGTCTCTGTCCACCTTGTCAATTCCTCTCAGTATTTTATATGTGGTTATCATGTCCCCCCATCTCTCCTATCCTCAGTGTTGTCAGGTTGATTTCCCTTAACCTCTCCTTGTAGGACATACCACTTAGCTCCGGGACTAGTCTTAATGCAAACTTTTGCACTTTCTCTAGTTTCTTTATGTACTTGGCTAGGTGTGGGTTCCAAACTGGTGCTGCATACTCCAATATGGGCCTAATGTGCACAGTGTACAGAGTCCTGAACGATTCCTTATTAAGATATCAGAATGCTGTTCTTAGGTTTGCTAGGCGCCTGTATGCTGCAGCAGTTATTTGGTTGATGTGTGCCTCAGGAGATGTGCCTCGTGTTATACTTACCCCAAGATCTTTTTCCTTGAGTGAGGTTTGTAGTCTCTGGCCCCCTTGACTGTACTCTGTCTGTGCCTGGTGTTATACTCACCCCAAGATCTTTTTCCTTGAGTGAGTTTTGTAGTCTCTGGCCTCTTGACTGTACTCTGTCTGTGGTCTTCTTTGCCCTTCTCCAATCTTCATGACTTTGCGCTTGGTGGAGTTGAACTCCAGGAGCCAGTTGCTGGACCAGGCCTGCAGCCTGTCCAGATCCCTTCGTAGTTCTGCCTGGTCCTGGTCCGATTGAATTCTTCTCATCAACCACATCATCCGCAAACAGGGACACTTCAGAGTCTACTCCTTCTGTCATGTCGTTTACAAATACCAGAAATAGCACTGGTCCCAGGACTGACCCCTGTGAAACTCCACTCGTCACAGGTGCCCACTCTCACACCTCACCACGTACCATGACTTGCTGTTGTCTTCCTTACAGGTATTCCCTGATCCATTGTAGTGCCTTCCCTGTTATCTTTTGCACTAATTTCTTGTGTGGAACTGTCAAACGCTTTCATACAATCCAATAAAATGCAGTCTACCCACCCCTCTCTTTCTTGTCTTACTGCTGTCACCCTGTCATAGAACTCCAGTAGGTTTGTGACACAGGATTTCTCGTCCTTGAAACTGTGTTGGCTGTCATTGATAAGCTCATTCCTTTCTAGGTGTTCTACCACTCTTCTCCTGATAATCTTCTCCACGACTTTGCGTACTATACACGTCAGTGACACTGGTCTGTAGTTTAATGCTTCATGTCTCTCCTTTTTTAAAAATTGGGACTACATTTGCTGTCTTCCATACCTCAGATAGTTGCCCTATTTTGATAGATGTGTTGAATATTGTTGTTAGGGGTACACACAGCGCCTTTGCTCCCCCTCTCAGGACCCATGGAGAGATGTTATCCGGCCCCATTGCCTTTGAGGTATCTAGCTTACTCAGCAGCCTCTTCACTTCTTCCTCGGTTGTATGCATTGTGTCCAACACTTGGTGGTCTCCCCACCTCTCCGTCTTTCTGGAGTCCCTTCTGTCTCCGTGAACACTTCTTCAAATCTCATGTTGAATTCCTCACATACTGTGTGGTCGCTTCTTGTGATCTCTTCTTCCTTCCTTAGCCTGATTACCTGGTCCTTGACTGTTGTTTTCCTCCTGATGTGGCTGTACAACAGCTTCGGGTCAGATTTGGCTTTCGCTGCTATGTCATTTTCATATTGTTGTTGGGCCTCACTTCTTACCTGTGCATATTCATTTCTGGCTCTACGACTTCTCTCCTTGTTCTCCTAGGTCCTTTGCCTTCTATACTTCTTCCACTCTCTAGCACACTTGGTTTTGGCCTCTTTACACCTTTGGGTAAACAAAGGGCTCATCCTGGCTTTCTCGTTATTTCTATTTTCCTTGGGTACAAACAACAAACCTATCCTTAGCTTCCTTGCATATTGTTGTCACATATCCCATCATCTCGTTTACTGACTTCCCTGCCAGTTCTCTGTCCCATTGAACCCTATGTAGGAAATTCTTCATGCCTGTGTAGTCCCCTCTCTTGTAATTTGGCTCCATTCGTCCTGCCCTTTTTGCTTCCCTCTCCACTTGTAACTCTACTGTGTATTTGAAGCTCACAACCACATGATCACTAGCCCCAAGGGGGCTCTTGTATGTCATGTGTGTGTGTGTGTGTGTGTGTGTGTGTGTGTGTGTGTGTGTGTGTGTGTGTGTGTACTCGCCTAGTTGTACTCACCTAGTTGATGTTGCTGGGGTCGAGTCCAAGCTCCTGGCCCTGCCTCTTCACTGGTCGCTACTAGGTCACTCTCCCTGAACCGTGAGCTTTATCATACCTCTGCTTAAAGCTATGTATGGATCCTGCCTCCACTACATCGCTTCCCAAACTATTCCACTTCCTGACTACTCTGTGGCTGAAGAAGTACTTCCTAACATCCCTGTGATTCATCTGTGTCTTCAACTTCCAACTGTGTCCCCTTGTTGCTGTGTCCCATCTCTGGAACATCCTGTCTTTGTCCACCTTATCAATTCCTCTCAGTATTTTGTATTATCATGTCATTATCATGTCCCCCCTATCTCTCCTGTCCTCCAGTGCCGTCAGGTTGATTTCCCTTAACCTCTCCTCGTAGGACATACCTCTTAGCTCTGGGACTAGTCTTGTTGCAAACCTTTGCACGTTCTCTAGTTTCTTTACGTGCTTGGCTAGGTGTGGGTTCCAGACTGTGCCGCATACTCCATTATGGGCCTAACGTACACGGTATACAGGGTCCTGAACAATTCCTTATTAAGATGTCGGAATGCTGTTCTGAGGTTTGGTAGGCGCCCATATGCGTGCATATATGTGTGTGTGCGTGCATGTGTGTGTGCGTGCGTGCATGTGTGTGTGTGTGTGGGGGGGGGGGCAAAAATCACTTTTCACTCTTATACTTCTTCATTGACGTTACTGATGTAAGTATTGCTTTGTTGAACCTGAATTTGACATTTTAAATAGTCATCATGTTTGCTGTAATATAAGAAATGACTTCAGTGATAGTTAACCATCTGTTTGAAAGAGCTTCACTCTATACAGTTATCAGTTAATTAATCTTATTTTGAAACTGCTGTAACAATTGCATTTTATGGAAAAAATTAAGTCAAACTATTATTTTATTTCAGGTAGATAGCCTTAACACAAAATAGAATGGCTTTGAGAGTGTATAAATCTGTAGTGGAGGGAAGGCAGGGTAGGGGTCAGCCTAGGAAAGTTTGGAGGGAGGGGGTAAAGGAGGTTTTGTATGCATGGGGCTTGGACTTCCAGCAAGCATGCGTGAGCTAGTTAGACAGGAGCGAATGGAGGCAAATGGTTCTTAGGACTTGACGTGTTATTGGAGTGTGAGCAAGGTAACATTTATGAAGGGTTTCAGGGAAATCGGCAGGCTGGACTTGAGTCCTGGAGATGGGAAGTACAGTGTCTGCACTCTGAAGTAGGTGTGTTAATGTTGCAGTTTTATAACTGTAGTGTAAGCATGCCTCTGGCAAGACAGTGATGGAGTGAATGATGAAAGTTTTTCTTTTTCGGGCCTCCCTACCTTGGTGGGAATGACCAATGTGTCAATGAAATAAAAAAAGTCCTTTACACATTTTTCAATGATTTATGGACATAATTTAGCTTAACATTGAAATGTAAATTTTGCACATTATATATATTTGTTAACTGCTGGGTTTGTGGCAACCCTGGGCTGTTCATTCTTGAGAGGCTGCAAACTAATTCATATCTATCCCCCTTATTGAAACCACTTGTAATGTACAGTGCCAGTGTTTAAACTGGTATTGTAAATTATAATTGTGTAAATGAAAAAGATGCTTGATTCTTTGTTACTTCAGATTGACATGAGTTCTCCCATGGAAGAGCAAGGGCCCTTTGACCTGCTGCTTCACAAGTTGACGGCATTATTTGCCCAGGCACTCAACCATGACCGTAAGGTATGTAAGTCTATCTACGAGACTAGTAATGAGGGTGATGACTGCCTGTCGAAATTCAAATTCTTCTTATTTCTCCATTTGAAATTAGGGTGGATAATGGTATTGTAAGTTCTTGTACTTGCATTTATTTTTTTTTTTTGCATACAGTATGTTTAGGAAAATAGATTCTTCCATGCTGCCAGTGTTTCACTATTTTTTTTTCTTTCAACAAACCAGCCGTATCCCACCGAGGCAGGGTGGCCCAAAAAGAAAAACAAAAGTTTCTCTTTTCAAATTTAGTAATTTATACAGGAGAAGGGGTTACTACCCCCTTGCTCCCGGCATTTTAGTCACTTCTTACAACATGCATGGCTTACAGAGGAAGAATTCTGTTCCACTTCCCCATGGAGATAAGAGGAAATAAACAAGAACAAGAACTAGAAAGAAAATAGCAGAAAACCCAGAGGGGTGTGTATATATATGCTTGTACATGTATGTGTAGTGTGACCTAAGTGTAAGTAGAAGTAGCAAGACGTACCTGAAATCTTGCATGTTTATGAGACAGAGAAAGACACCAGCAATCCTACCATCATGTAAAACAATTGCAGGCTTTCGTTTTACACTCACTTGGTAGGACGGTAGTACCTCCCTGGGCGGTTGCTGTCTACCAACCTACTACCTAGGGTTTCACTATTTATCACTGCAAAAAGTTGAGTTGGCAGGTAAAATTGAAATCTCTACTGGCATGCATATACAAAATATTAATGCCTCATAGGGCCTGTGGAATTTTTGTTTTTAGTAACATCACATAGAGATATCCTTCCTTTATTAACACAGTCATCAGTCCAATCTCTAAAGTTTTTTTGGTAGAGATATATGAATGTCAAGTGGGATATACATATACATGTATCTCATTTGTCACTTGCGCTGTTCTTCTTTGAATGTAAAAAATGTTTCATTGTTTGCTCTTCATATACAAGTACTGTACCATAATTTAATTATATTTATATAGTAATTCAATTTATTTCTAACTGAATTTGAAATGAGGTATATATCACTTGTGTTTATACTAACCTTGGTCCTTTCTTTCCTGACTCCTTGTTTATAGGACCCTTCACAGTTAAGTCCATGCATTAAAATCATTAGGGAATAGTTCATAAATTACTGGGTATATTCATGACTCTGTGTCATGGGCTGCCATTGATACCTTCTGCCTTACCTCACAGAATTTCCCATCCTATCTGTTGCAACATTGCAACATTGCGTAGTTCCTGACAATGCACAAGAGTATAAAAGATCTAGAACTAAAGATTTCCATCCCCATGTGGCTTATTCTGCATCATGTTATATGAATAATAGAGTAGTGTAGTTGTCAGTGTTTGGCTCAACCAAAAGTTCTGGATTCATTCGCTGATCAGGGTGAGATGTTTGTGCAGGTCTCCTTTTATTAATGATATAGGGTGACAGTACATAGATGGTAATGCTTGTAAATCTATGTTCACTGTCCCATTTAATCTAGCAGTAAATAGGTGATTGTTGTAAGAATTTATGTGTATACCAGTGTAAATATCATGCTTAGAAATAAGCTGAAGGAGGATGAACTATGGGAAAAGCTAGTGGAGGGGTACCCTGACTAGTGTGAATCAAGTCAGGTGGCCCCTGATTTGTTAATTTCTAGAAATTAAGAGTTCTCTCAGTTTCAGTCTGACAAGTATACTTTTGCTCCATTGGTTTCTTATTTGAAATTTCACTTTTTTTGTTTTTCAGTGGGTTATCTTCATCATAGTTTTTTTTTTTCCAGTAATATTATTTCTAGACAATTTTATCATTAATTATCATAAGGCCTGAAAAACTGTCTTCATAATTTGTTTATAAATATTAGGTTGGTACATAGTAATTAGTAGATGGTAAATATCAAACACACATGGAGATACTACTGTACAGTCTTATGAGTGTGAAATAGAATCCTGATAAAAGTTTTGTACTGCATGATTGTTGGTGTTTTTTCTGTCTAAGAGACAGCATACACTTACCTTTGGTTGTTTCTTTATTGAAAAATGGTATAGTGATACCAGCAAGATGTGAAAAAAAGACACTTAAATGTCCTGAACTGTACATAAGTGTCTTTTTTTGTGTCTTTATTGTATTGCAAAATCTTATCTCAGTATTTTTTTTTTCAAAATTAAGGCAGAGTTGACTAGAATTCTTCCCTATAAGGGAGGAAGGGGTAAAGGAGGTTTTGTGTGCAGAGGACTTGGGCATCTAACAGTAATATATATATAGATATATATATATTGAAACATATATGTGAACAGTATTTAGATAAAGGTAGGGAAGTTTTTATTGCATTTATGGATTTAGAAAAGGCATATGATAGAGTGGATAGAGGAGCAATGTGGCAGATGTTGCAAGTATATGGAATAGGTGGTAAGTTATTAAATGCTGTAAAGAGTTTTTATGAGGATAGTGAGGCTCAGGTTAGGGTGTGTAGAAGAGAGGGAGAATACTTCCCGGTAAAAGTAGGTCTTAGACAAGGATGTGTAATGTCACCATGGTTGTTTAATATATTTATAGATGGGGTTGTAAAAGAAGTAAATGCTAGGGTGTTCGGAGAGGGGTGGGATTAAATTATGGGGAATCAAATTCAAAATGGGAATTGACACAGTTACTTTTTGCTGATGATACTGTGCTTATGGGAGATTCTAAAGAAAAATTGCAAAGGTTAGTGGATGAGTTTGAGAATGTGTGTAAAGGTAGAAAGTTGAAAGTGAACATAGAAAAGAGTAAGGTGATGAGGGTATCAAATGATTTAGATAAAGAAAAATTGGATATCAAATTGGGGAGGAGTATGGAAGAAGTGAATGTTTTCAGATACTTGGGAGTTGACGTGTCGGCGGATGGATTTATGAAGGATGAGGTTATCATAGAATTGATTAGGGAAAAAAAGGTGAGTGGTGCATTGAGGTATATGTGGAGTCAAAAAAACGTTATCTATGGAGGCAAAGAAGGGAATGTATGAAAGTATAGTAGTACCAACACTCTTATATGGATGTGAAGCTTGGGTGGTAAATGCAGCAGGAGGAGACGGTTGGAGGCAGTGGAGATGTCCTGTCTAAGGGCAATGTGTGGTGTAAATATTATGCAGAAAAATTCGGAGTGTGGAAATTAGGAGAAGGTGTGGAGTTAATAAAAGCATTAGTCAGAGGGCAGAAGAGGGGTTGTTGAGGTGGTATGGTCATTTAGAGAGAATGGATCAAAGTAAAATGACATGGGAAAGCATATAAATCTATAGGGGAAGGAAGGAGGGGTAGGGGTCGTCCTCAAAAGGGTTGGAAAGAGGGGGTAAAGGAGGTTTTGTGGGCTAGGGGCTTGGACTTCCAGCAAGCGTGCATGAGCGTATTAGATAGGAGTGAATAGAGGCGAATGTACTTGGGACCTGACGATCTGTTAGAGTGTGAGCAGGGTAATATTTAGTGAAGGGATTCAGGGAAACCGGTTATTTTCATATAGTCGGACTTGAGTCCTGGAAATGGGAAGTACAATGCCTGCACTTTAAAGGAGGGGTTTGGGATATTGGCAGTTTGGGAGGGATATGTTGTGTATCTTTATACGTATATGCTTCTAAACTGTTGTATTCTGAGCACCTCTGCAAAAGCAGTGATAATGTGTGAGTGTGGTGAAAGTGTTGAATGATGATGATGAAAGTATTTTCTTTTTGGGGATTTTCTTTCTTTTTTGGGTCACCTGCCTCGGTGGGAGACGGCCGACTTGTTGAAAAAAAAAAAAAAAAAAAAAATTAAATATTTTTATTGATTTTGTTAGAAGGTTTTGTTATGTAAACATTTTTTAGAAAAAGAGGATAAAAAAATAATTAAAAGTATGATGTGGGGCGAAAATGAAGTAGTTTTTTGGATTTGTTTTGGGATAAAAAGTTTGAGTAGCTCAGGTGTACATGTTTATGGGGGCCCGATATATCGATCATTTTAGTTGTGCTACTTAGGTAAAGGTGATGGGAACAAGGAAATGAAAACAGGGGAAGAGGAGTGAAGGTTTATAAAAAAAAGGGGGGGTTTGGGGGAAAGATTAACGCTATTGGAGGTGTGGGTATAAAAGGATGGAAGGGGGGGTGAAGGGTTGGGGGGTATTTTTTAAAAATGAGTTTTTTAGATTTTTAGAAAAATTTTGTGGTTAAGGAAAAGTGGGGGGCGGGGAAGAGGAGGATTGGTGGAATGATGAGTAAAAGGGGTTGAAAAGGGGAAAAAAATTTTTGTTTGAAAATTTTTTACAAGAAAATGATAAGAGGGAAGAGTATTGGGAAAAAAAAAAGGGGTTTAAGAGAGTGGTGAGAATGAAAAAGAAAACAAAATGAAGAGTGGGTAGATTTTTAAAAATTTTTTTGGAAAAATAAGAAAAAATTTTGGAGTGAGTTAACAAGTTAAGGAAAGCCTAGGAAATATGGGATTTGTCAGTTAAAAACAGAGTAGGAGGGGTTAGTAGATGGGGAGATGGAGGTATTGGGTAGATGGCGAGAATATTTTGAGGAACTTGTTAAATGTTAAGGAAGAAAGAGCAGTGATTTCATGACTGGTCAGGGAGGTATACATCTTTAGGAGTGAGAAGAGCAGATGTAGTGTGGGGGAGGTACGTGAGGCATTAGTAAAATGAAAGGGGGTAAGGCAGCCGGGATTGATGGGATAAAGATAGAAATGTTAAAAGCAGGTGGGGATATAGTTTTGGAGTGGTTGGTGCAATTATTTTAATAAATGTATGGAAGAGGGTAAGGTACCTAGGGATTGCAGAGAGCATGCATAGTCCTTTGTATAAAGGCAAAGGGGACAAAAGAGAGTGCAAAAATTATAGGGGGATAAGTCTGTTGAGTATACCTGGTAAAGTGTATGGTAGGAGTTATTATTGAAAGAATTAAAAGTAAGACTGAGAATAGGATAGCAGATGAATAAGGAGGCTTCAGGAAAGGTAGGGGGTGTGTGGACAGGTGTTTACAGTGAACATATAAGTGAACAGTATTTAGATAAGGCTAAAGAGGTTCTTTGTGCATTTATGGATTTGGAAAAGGCGTATGACAGGGTGGATAGGGGGGCAATGTGGCAGATGTTGCAAGTGTATGGTTGTAGGAGGTAGGTTACTGAAAGCAGTGAAGAGTTTTTAGAGGATAGTGAGGCTCAAGTTAGAGTATGTAGGAAAGAGGGAAATTATTTCCCAGTAAAAGTAGGCCTTAGACAAGGATGTGTGATGTCACCGTGGTTGTTTAATATATTTATAGATGGGGTTGTAAGAGAAGTAAATGCGAGGGTCTTGACAAGAGGCGTGGAGTTAAAAGATAAGAATCACACACAAAGTGGGAGTTGTCACAGCTGCTCTTTGCTGATGACACTGTGCTCTTGGGAGATTCTGAAGAGAAGTTGCAGAGATTGGTGGATGAATTTGGTAGGGTGTGCAAAAGAAGAAAATTAAAGGTGAATACAGGAAAGAGTAAGGTTATGAGGATAACAAAAAGATTAGGTGATGAAAGATTGAATATCAGATTGGAGGGAGAGAGTATGGAGGAGGTGAATGTATTCAGATATTTGGGAGTGGACGTGTCGCGGATGGGTCTATGAAAGATGAGGTGAATCATAGAATTGATGAGGGAAAAAGAGTGAGTGGTGCACTTAGGAGTCTGTGGAGACAAAGAACTTTTCCTTGGAGGCAAAGAAGGGAATGTATGAAGAGTATAGTTTTACCAACGCTCTTATATGGGTGTGAAACATGGGGGGATGAATGTTGCAGCGAGGAGAAGGCTGGAGGCAGTGGAGATGTCCATGTCTGAGGGCAATGTGTGGTGTAATATAATGCAGAGAATTCGTAGTTTGGAAGTTAGGAGGAGGTGCGGGATTACAAAAACTGTTGTCCAGAGGGCTGAGGAAGGGGTTGTTGAGGTGGTTCGGTCATGTAGAGGGAATGGAGCGACACAGAATGACTTCAAGAGTGTATCAGTCTGTAGTGGAAGGAAGGCGGGGGTAGGGGTCGGCCTCGGAAAGGTTGGAGAGAGGGGGGTAAAGGAGGTTTTGTGTGTGAGGGGCTTGGACTTCCAGCAGGTATGCATGAGCATGTTTGATAGGAGTGAATGGAGACAAATGGTTTTTAATACTTGACGTGCTGTTGGAGTGTGAGCAAAGTAACATTTATGAAGGGGTTCAGGGAAACGGTCAGGCGGACTTGAGTCCTGGAGATGGGAAGTACATGCCTGCACTTTGAAGGAGGGGTTTGGGTTAATGTTGCAGTTTAAAAACTGTAGTGTAAAGCACACCTCTGGCAAAGACGTGATGGAGTGAATGATGGTGAAAGTTTTTCTTTTTCGGGCCACCCTGCCTTGGTGGGAATCAGCCAGTTGATATAAAAAAAAAAATATAATATTATATATATATATAAATATATATATATAATTTATTATATATATATATATATATAATAATTATAATTATAATTATAATGTACAGTGTGTGTGTTAGTGTTTAGTGTTAGTGTTAGGAGTGAGGTGAGGTGAGTGGTTTCTTATGATTCGATATGTTGTTGGAGTATGAGATGGGTAACATTTATGAAGGAATTCAGGAAACTGGTTATCCAGACTTAGTCCTGGAGGTGGGAAATACTGTGCCTTCAGTCTGAAGGTGTGAGGATACGGCAGTTTGGAGGGTCATCAGAATTATGATGTCGGCCCACTTCTGGCAAGACAGTGGTTGAATGAATGATAGGGAGTGTTTCTTCTTTTTTGGGTTGCCCTACCTTGGTGGGAGATGGACAGTGTGTTAAAAAAACAAAAGTTATACTTCTTGTAGAAGGTGATTGAAATGTTGGGAACTAAGCGGCTGGTAACTTCTTTTCTGTATGCACAAATAACCCGCACATAAAAGAGAGAAGCTTACGACGACGTTTCGGTCCTACTTATCTCTTTTATGTGCGGGTTATTTGTGTATCGTTCCAGTCACGGTATTGTGCCTTTTTGTTATTTATTTCTGTATGCAATTAAAAGTAATAAAAAGAAAAATTGCCAGGAGTAAGGGGCTAGTAACCACCTTCTCCTGTATGCATTACTAATTTAAAAAGAGAGACTTTCATTTTTCTTTTTAGTCACCCTGCCTCTGTGGGATGTGGCCAGTTTAGCAAAAAAAAAAAAAAAATTAGTTGACTTGTTTGAATGTCTGGATGTGGTACTGATGTTAAGAAAGAATTGATTATTTATGCTATAATGGAAAGGAAGCTGAAGTCATCACTGAGTGAAACAAATCTAAAATGGGTAGGAGAGTTTGAATTGGGAGGAGTAAATGAGGTGGAATCAAATGTATCTGAGAGAATAGGAGCTAACAGAGTAGCTGTACATGATGGGAAATACATACACAATTATGGAAAGGAAAGAGGAGTGTTAATGTTTAAGTTTAAGATTTATGTTTTAGAATAATAGTGAAAGTGAGATTTAGGTTATAAAAAGAGTTTTTGCACCTGGAGGTGAAAGGAATGCTGAGAGAGATTCTGGTAACACTTAGGGAATTTGTAACCAAATGTGAGACCTTAATGCTAAAATGGGATTCACCTTTATAAGGCAAAGCAGGAAACTTTGGAGTGAGTGTATTAATATAATTGAAATAATAAATATTTATATAATGCATATCTTTTCAGGCTATAACTGCAATCAAAATGTTTGAAAATTATATTGGAAGACACCCAGAAACCATTGTAATGGATCCCCTTCCTGGCGTCTACAGACTTTTGCTGAGAAATCAAACGTATAATCTTCTAAAACAGTGCTTCAAACATGATGGTCAGTATGTTGTTGCTTGTAGTTGCTGCTTGATTTTTGCCATTTTAACCCTTTCAGGGTCCCCAGGCCCTCTCCGAGACTTGTTCTCAGGGTTCCCAAATTTAAAAAAAAAAAAAAATATATTTTTTCTTATGAAAAGATAGAGAATCTTTTCCCAATCATAATGGCACCAAAAGTATGAAATTTGATGGAAAACTTACGTAATTATGCTCTCGCGAAATTAGCGGTCCTGACACTGTTTACGCATCGGCGATTTTGCCCACTTTGAGCCCTATTTTCGGCCAATTCCAGTGTACTAGTCGACAAAAATCATATCTATTTCGCTAGAACTCCATTTTTTTCTATCGAATGAGTACAAGAAACCACCCATTTACCGATTTCAACTATCCAATAAAGTGGTCAGAATTTAGCAATTTTGCCAATTTCACAAATTTCATAAGATGCCAATTTCCAAATAGGGTGCAGAATAAACAAGAAAGACATTCCTGGCACTAAAATAACAAGTTCTCTGTTAGTTAGTCACATCCCCAGGCCTCTCTTATATTTCTTTGACTTTCCACTTTGAATTTTTATTCTTACAAAAAATAGAAGATTTACTGTTATGCAGACTACTGCATTAGTGTAGAAATGGTATAAATAATATCAACGCACTTGTGAAAGAATATTAGACTCACCAGTTGATGTGTATTGGACGGTTAGCATGATATATTTACTTTTGAACTTTGGTAAAAATCGAACATTTCTGCTACTTTGAGCTCAATTTCAAGGTACTTTTCATTGTAAAACCAGTCAAAATCATCTCAATTTCTGTAATATGTCTTCCATTTTATAAAATGAGACCAGGAAAACTAGAATACAACAATAAATACCATACGAAAATACAGTGCAAAGTCACTGTTTTAATCCAAAAACACGGTCAAAGTTTTTTTTTTCTCATTATGCACTGTGTGTTGCAGGATTTTTTTTATGCTGCGCACACTGACCACGTACTCATTCTTTCATATGTAGGCCTACCAGCTTTCTCTCACTAGATTTGAGGGCGCTAGAATTTAGGCATACTAGTACGTCAAAAACCCTGGGGCGTAAGCCGTACTAGTACGGCCGAAACCCTGAAAGGGTTAAAGCAATATTACTGGCTTGTAAAATCTTTTAACACTTATAATTCTGTATACAGTGGACCCCCGAGTTTCGTGATTAATCTGTTCCAGAGAGTCTGCCGACTGGCGAAATTCATGATTGGCGAATCTATTTTCCCCATAAGAAATAATGGAAACCCAATTAATCCGTTTCAGACAGCCAAAAGTATTAACAAAAAATATTTTTTTTAAAGATTAAATGTAGATTTACATACAGAAAACAATGACAAATAAATATAAAGCACTAATAAAATGGATAAATAAACATTTAACATCACACTTAACCTTTATTGATTCTTGTTGGTGTAGGAGGTAGGTAGGAGGCAAGAGGAAGGCGAATTTATTATGCTTCAATATGACGCTAATATCATCTCTACGGCTTATTTATCTATCACAATTCATCTAATATGACATTATAAACAATATTAATAACATAGAAACATGATATATACTCTAGAATAAAACATGTCATAATGTATGAGAGGAGTAAATGGTGTAAGTGTTGTTGTTGGGTTAAGGGCCGCCACTGAAAGAAGCCGTGTTGGTGGCGGTGGAGGCTTTGGCCACCACCACCATCACACTTAAACAATGTATGTAATTTATAAATAAGAAATGTTTTCATTTTAATTTATAAATAAGAAATATTTATATTTTAATTTATAAACAAGTTTATTCAAGTATACACAAATACAGTTACATACATAGATTATCATACATAGCAACATATGTGTAAAGTACCCAGGATAACCCAAAAAATTCAAGTGTGACATATTTCCATTGGTGTCCTCTTATATTTACACTTATATTTACTTTTATACTTACACTTATATTTACAATTACCTTGGAGGAGATGTTAGTTTAATTAGTTAGTTTGATGAAGATGTTGGCAGAGGTTTAGGGTGGTGGAAGATAGCAGGGCGGTGTATGTTCAGCGGTCGTATACACATCCAACAACATTGGAGAGTTACTCTCATGTTGTTTTTCTATCGCTTACTCGCTTAACTTACTTGCTACACTGTTAATTCTACCCTTTATTGCTGGCTGGAGCTGTAGCCTTTATCGATACCTACATATTGTAGAATCACTGAATCACTGCAGAAGGCACATTCTCCCCTCTCTCTTCCTCCTCTACTTTAGTACTCTGCCATGAGTTTTTTCTTGAATTCTATCGTGTTTCTCACCTTCTTTACCAAAGGGCTGGCACTAGGAGCTTTCTTTGGGCTTATGGTGGCTTATTTAGCAGTTGCAAGCACAAAAAACAATGAATTATTATGAAATGTGTTGTATGAACTCGTGGGATGATGGTCACATGCTGGTAAACAATGGCACACTGAGTGTGAATAGTGCGGGAGACTGGCTTTGTGTGCGCACTGACGGGCAGACGCATACCAGAAGGTCGCCGAATCACGAGTCCAATCACGAACCACGAAGCTAAATTTTGTCGAAAGAACTTGCCGAAAGTCAGATTTCACGAAAGTTGCGGCCACCAAACGGCGGGGGATCCACTGTACGTACTAAAGTGTACTAAAGTGTATATTATACACTTTAGTACACTCACTGGCCACTTAATTAGGTACATCTGTAAACCTGCTCATAAACATCTGTAAACCTGTAAATATCTAATCAGTGAATCACTTAGCAGCACTTTTTGATGGTCAAGAAGTTCAGTTATTTTTCAGACCAAACATCAGAATGGGGAAGACATGTGAGTTTGACTGTGGAATGATTGTTGATGCCAGATGGGGTGGTCTGAGTATCTCACAAACTACTGATCTGGGATTTGCACACACAGTAATCTCTAAGAGATTACAGAGAATGGTGTAAAAAACAAAACATTCAGTGAGCAGCACTTCTTTGGGAAAAAAATGCCTTGTTAATGAGAGGTCAGAAGAGACTGGCTGGACTGGTTCACACCTACAGAAAGGTGGCAATAACTCAAATAACAATGTTTACAGCAGTGATATGCAGAAGAACATCTCTGGCAGCTGGATTCAGAGCAAAACACTGTGCCAATACAAGCTTGTTCTGCAGTGTGTGTTATTTCTTCATTATTGTTGTTGGCAGTCCACTACTTGGATTAGATAATTAAAATTATACGACTACTGCACAAGTAATACTGTGTATATTGACTTTTCTAAGTCCAGCTGTGGATCCATTGAAAGTCGAGGAAAAGGCTGGTCTTCTTCATGAATATTGACTTCAGGTGTTTATCAAGTTCACATAGTATTGGGCTGTCAAAAGAGCATTTAAACATTTGGAAATAGGTTAGACTGAATAAGGCCTGGCACATTATGAAAAAGTACAAGACATAGTGGGCATCCATATTGCCTGTTCTCCATTTCATCTATTTTTTCATGTCATTCAATTTATCTTGAAGGATTGCAGAAAGACATTGGTATCCAATGGCTCTCTAAGCATGGTGTTGCCAGTGGGAGTGATAGTGCAGTCTTCTGCTATAATGAATCACATGGAAGTAATGACGATTGGCTTGTTGGTCAAGATGCTCTCAAGTGTGAATGATTAAGACTTTACTAGTTGGAGCTTTATTAGCAGGGACCTCTTTTATTTTCTAACAGGGACCTCCTTTCATTGTATTTTCCTATTACTTTATTACCAGAATCTGAATGTTAGTACTGCTGATTAATTTACTAATTCCTCTATGTACAGTACTTTATGTATTCTTAAAGGCATTTTGTTCAACAAATTAACTTAAGAATGTACTGTACAGTTTTACAAATTTTACTTTTTTTTTATACACAAGCCAAAGGTAACTTAGCATGCTTAGTAGGCTTAGTTTTGGGTAGTGTTATTTCCTTTGAAATGCATTCATTTTTTTTTTTACATTAGGTGTTTCTTGGTGTTATAGTAACTAGGCCTTTTTTTTGCCAAGGAATACTTGAGAAACATGATATAATGCCAAGCAAAATTCAAGTATTTGTGGTTAAGCAAGACACTCAGCAGTGCAAGCATTTATTAGACAACATTTTGCTAAAGTATGAAGAAATTGCATCTTGCCACCAGCATACTGCTTGTGGAGATAAATGAACCTTTTGCTGGATGCTCCAGGTATGACATTTATTAGATAACATTTTGCTAAAATTCAAAGAAATAACATCTGTACCACAAGCACACTATTGTATAGGTAGTAAATGGGCCTTTTGCTGGATACTCCAAATCTTGGCTCATAGTGTTAAGATTTATCTTCTGAATATATTGTACACTTTATATACTATTTAATTTTATAATAAATGTTTTTAGTAAAATAATGCAGAAAATAGATTGTGGCATAATCAATTAAAGGCATATAAGAATAATATTTTTATTATTTTTTATTGACACATTGGCCGATTCCCACCAAGGCAGGGTGGCCCGAAAAGGAAAAACTTTAATCGTCATTCACTCCATTACTGTCTTGCCAGAGGCACGCTTTACTGCAGTTATAAAACTGCAACATTAACACACCTCCTTCAGAGTCAGGGACTCTACTTCCCATCTCCAGGAATCAAGTCCAGCCTGCCAGTTTCCCTGAATCCCTTCATAAATGTTACTTTGCTCACACTCCAACAGCACATCAAGTATTAAAAAACACTTATCTCTATTCACTCCTTGCTGGAAGTCCAAGCCCCTCACACACAAAACCTCCTTTACCCCCTCCCTCCAGCCTTTCCTAGGCCAACCCCTACCCTGCCTTCCCTCCACTGCAGATTTATACACTCTCAAAGTCATTGTTTCGCTCCATTCTCTCTACATGTCCGAACCACCTCAACAACCCCTCATCAGCCCTCTGGATAATAGTTTTAGTAATCTCACTCTTCCTCCTAATTTCCAAACTATGAATTCTCTGCATTATATTCACACAACACATTGCCCTCAGACATGACATCTCCACTGCCTCCAGCCTTCTCCTTGTTGCAAAATATACCACTCATGCTTCACACCCATATAAGATTGTTGGTATAACTATGTTCTCATACATTCCCCTCTTTGCTTCAACAGACAAAGTTCTTTGTCTCCACAGACTCCTAAGTGCACTATTCACCCTTCTCTAAGTCAGTCAGTCAGTTCAGTCATTCAGTAAGTCAGTCACACAAACTAATGTTTACCTCTTTTTCTGTGTACAAATTAACGCTTCATTACGGCTATAGGTTATCTCTTGTCTAATATCTTTGTTAATTTTAAGACTTAAGTGCTTATACCTGTTCGTGCCACTTACAGCAACACTGGTATGGCTACTGCGTGTCATGATTGCTTGGCAGATACAAGATATAGTAATAAAAATATCATAACACAATTCACAAACACAGCTGCCTTGTAGCAGAGAAAGACCGGACCAGACAAGTATGAATTACGAACGCTGGGATGGTGTCAGGGAGTGGCCGGGGATGGCAGGAGTGGCCGAAGATGGCAGGAGTGGTTGGGGATGGCGGGAGTGGCCGGGGATGGCGATAGGGCTCCCCGGACGCTCCACAACAAGGCGCCCGCTTGAGCAAAAGAGAATTTTTTTTTGCTTCCCACAAACTGAACCATGTTAAATTCATTATACGACATGTTACATAAAATTGTGTTGCAATTCTTCAATCGTGCAATACCCAAATCGTGCCAAATAAGCTTGTGCTAAATGATGGTCTACTGCACATTCATCTTCTCCATACTCTTTCCCTCCAGTCTTATATCCAATCTTTCGTCACTTAATCTTTTTGTTATCCTCATCACCTTACTCTATCCTATATTCACTTTTAATTTTCTTCTTTTACATACCCTACCAAACTCATCCACCAGCCTCTGCAACTTCTCTTCAGAATCTTCCAAAAGCACAGTGTCATCAGTAAAGAGCAACTGTGTCAACTCCCACTTTGTGTTAGACTATCTTTTAACCCCACACCTCTTGTTGTTAGGTAAGACACATATGCAACAGTTGGGTATCTTTATTTCGAAATAAAGATACCTAACTGTTGCATGTGTGTCTTACCTAACAACCTGTCGGTATTTTATACCATTTTAATACCCACACCTCTTGCTAAGACCCTCGCATTCACTTCTCTTACAACCCCATCTATAAATATATTGAACAACCATGATGACAGACATCACACATCTTTGTCTAAGGCCTACTTTACTGGGAAATAATCTTCCTCTCTCCTACATACTGAGCCTCACTGTCCTCATAAAAATTTTTCACTGCTTTCAGTAACCTACCTCCTATTCCATACACCTGCAGCATCTGCCACATTGCTCCCCTATCCAACCTGTCGTATGGTTTTTCCAAATCCATAAATGCCACAAAAACTTCTTTAGCCTTATCTAAATACTGTTCACCTATGTGTTTCACTGTAAACACTTGGTGTACACACCTCTCCTAAAACTTCCTTGTTCATAATATATGATTATAAATTAAAAACTGAGAGTAAGGGGCTAGTAATCCCTTCTCCTGTATAAATTACAAAATTTAGAAAGAGAAACTTTCGTTTTTCTTTTTGGGCCACCCTGCCTTGGTGGGATACGGCCGGTTTGTTGAAAGAAAGATATATATTACTAAATTTAAAAGGAGAAACTTTCCTTTTTCCTTTTGGGCCACCCTGCCTTGGTGGGATACGGCCAGTTTGTTGAAAGAAGAAATTAAAAATTGTCAACTGTGCTATTGTATTCTGCTTTGAGTAATTGTATGCTTTAAGAGGATATCCATCTTTTAAGATTAAATGAAAGCATTGTACTGTAAAGTACAGTACAGTACTCCTAATTTGTACTATATATCTAAGTTGTATTGTAGATTAATGCAAGAATTAATGGACTACTTTTATTCGGACTATGATTTTCTGGAGAAATTATATTGTTCTGCAAAAATCATGGACCTTCCACATTAGTGGGAAATACTTTAAATGTTAATGCTCTGAAAAATTTAAGAATGTGGTGATCTTTATAACTTATTTGTACTTAAGATAATGTTAGAGGAAGATTTGGTAAATACCGGTAATTATTTTTGTTTTTTCTTATATTTGCAGTTTTGTTTTACAGATAAGGTGTTCACTCCCACATATGTGGAGCTCTCTACAACAGATTTGCAACACAACAGAATGCTAATTCAAGAAGCAAATGTTACATTTCCAGTAGGTAAGTAGTAATTCTGTCAGTACACTGAATTCTCTTACATTGAGTAGGTAGTAATTCTGCCAGTTTTCAATGCTCATGATTTATAATGCAGAATTTTCTTTTTTTTTTGTAACATCTGGTGTGTCCCAGCAGGGTAGGGCTACCCAAAGCACACTTTGAGCTTGAAGAGTGTAATGGTATAGTAGCTGTCATCACTTGCTAAACTGGGCATGGGTTACTATATCTATTAGACTAAAATAATTTTTTTTTTCCTTTTTACACACACCAGCCACCTCCCACTAAGGCAGGGTAACTTGAAAAAGAGGAAATGAAATTTATCTTCTTTTTGCACTTAGGGATTTTGCACTATGGGATTTTGTTATTCTTCAACGCCTGTTCTTTTAAGAAATTCACAAGCGCTAACACACCAAGCTAAATACAGCCTCTCCTCACTTAACGACGGAGTTCCATTCCTAAGACCAAGTCAGTAAACGAATTTGTCGCTAAGTGAGGAGCATACTAGAATGGTAGTGGGTTTGTGTCAACCATCTTTGATATTGTTTTAATGTCACTTTTGCACCATTTATAACATTTCTGATACATTTTTAAATGTTTATATGGTAGTGTACTGTATATTGTAATAAACAGAATAGAGGAAATCAACTCTAATGTACATTATTGAGGTATGCATACTGGTCAGAGAGCCTGTTGTAAGTCCAAGTCATCGGTAAACGAGTACGTCGGTAAGTGAGGAGAGGCTGTACAATAACAACAGTGAAGAAGAAATACTAAAGCTTTTACTCAAAAGGGACTATAATCATCAGGATCATAAGTTCTAGAAAAAAGATGTGGTTTCAACTGAGACTTAAAAGTATGTATACCTGGAGGGTGTTCTGGGGGTCAGTGCCCTGGCAGACTGGCCCATGACTAGGCAGCCTGTTGAACAATTTAACATTGTGCAAGAGGGAAATGTTTCAACTTGCCGCATTGGCCTGGTCTCAGACTGGGCTGTGGAGGCGTTGACCCCCGAAACCCTCTTCAGGCCAGGTATCTCCAGGTATACTGATGATGGCTTTTGCAGATCTAATCAGTTAGTGATTGTGGGAGTCTCCTGTATTTCTTACTCAGTAAACTAATGTTATAATTACAGTGGACCCCCGGTTAACGATATTTTTTCACTCCAGAAGTATGTTCAGGTGCCAGTACTGACCGAATTTGTTCCCATAAGAAATATTGTGAAGTAGATTAGTCCATTTCAGACCCCCAAACATACACATACAAACGCACTTACATAAATACACTTACATAATTGGTTGCATTCGGAGGTAATCGTTATGCGGGGGTCCACTGTATAAGGATTTCTTGTTAGGTATATGAGTTCTTAAATACCTCATTGGTGTTAAAGTATGGTATGTTGTAGCTTAGTAAAATACTCGTGTAAAGTACTATAATCATGTGCAAATTTTGTAGAGCATTAAAAAATACAAATACGTAATGTTAAATCAGAGCAAAAATTTTTATTACTTAATATTGTTGCAAATGGAATTTTTTTTCTTATACAGTACATGTATTTGTACTGAATATTAAAAGCAGTAACTATCTTATTCCTTTTAAAATAAATGTGACCATTTCACTGATGTTATGAGTGATTAATAAATTTTGTTCTTTTCTCAGTGTGTAAGCCAGTAACAGCAGGTGGTGGAATAGAAGCACACGAGGTAAGATATCACTGCATCAGTGTTTAGTATTATTCTTCCTCTGTAAGCTATGTGTGTCGTAGGAGCCGACTAAATGCTGGGAGCAGTGGGCTAATAACCCTTCTCCTGTATAAATTACTAAAAAGAAGGAAAAGAAGAACGTTATAAAATTGGGATGTTTGAATGTGCATGGATGCATTGCAGATGATAAGAAAGAAGTGATAGTAAATGTTATGAATGAAAAGAAGTTGGATGTCCTAGCCCTAAGTGAAACAAAGCTGAAGGGGATAGGGGAGTTTCAGTGGGGAGAAATAAATGGGATTAAGTCAGGAGTATCTGAGACAGTTAGAGCTAAGGAAGGGGTAGCAATAATGTTAAAGGATCAGTTATGGAGAAAGAAGAGGGAATATAAATGTTTAAATTCAAGGACTATGTGGACTAAAATAAGGGTCGAATATGAAAAGTGGGTTATAATAAGTGTGTATGCACCTGGTGAAGAAAGGAGTGTAGAGGAGAGAGAGAGGTGTTAGGAGATCTTAAGTGAGTGTGTAGGAACGTTTGAGCCAAGTGAGAGAGTGATTGTGGTAGGGGACCTAAATGCCAAAGTAGGAGAAGCATTTAGAGAGGGTGTGGTAGGTAAGTTTGGGGTGCCAGGTGTAAATGATGATGGGGAGCATTTGATTTAACTTTGTATAGAAAAGGTTTGGTTATAGGTAACACATATTCTAAGAAAAGAGAATAAATAAATATACAAGCTATGATATAGGGCGTAATGACAATACATAGTTTGTTGGAATACGTATTGGTAGATAAAAGACTTTTGGGTAGACTTCAGGATGTATATGTTTATAGAGGGGCCACAGATATATCATATCACTTTTTAGTTGTAACTACAGTAAGAGTAAAAGGTAGATGGGATACAAGGAAAATGGAAGCAGCAAGTAAGAAAGAGGTGAAGGTTTATAAAGTAAAGGAGCAGGCAGTTAGGGTAGGATATAAATAACTATTAGAGGACAGATGGGCTAGTGTGAGTATAGGCAATGGGGTAGAAGATGTATGGGGTAAGTTTAAGAATATAGTGTTAGAGTGTTCAGCAGAAGTTTGTGTTTACAGGAAAGTGGATGTAAAGAGAGTAGTAAGAGAGAAAAAGTTAGCATATGAGAAGTTTTTACAAAGTAGAAGTGATGCAAGGCGGGAGGAGTATATGGAGAGAAAAAGAGAGGTTAAGAGAGTGGTGAAGCAATGTAAAAAGAGAGCAAATGAGAGAGTGAGTGAGATGTTATCAACAAATTTTGTTGAAAATAAGAAAAAGTTTTGGAGTGAGATTAATAAGTTGAGAAAGCCTAGGGAACGAATGGATATGTTAGTTAAAAATAGGAGAGGAGAGTTATGAAATGGAGAGTCAGAGGTATTGGAAAGATGGAGAGAATATTTTGAGGAATTGTTAAATGTTGATGAAGATAGGGAAGCTGTGATTTCATGTATAGGGCAAGGAGAAATAACATCTTATAGGAGTGAGGAAGAACCAGTTGTGAGTAGGGGGGAAGTGTATGGGGCAGTGGGTAGAATGAAAGTGGGTAAAGCAGCTGGGATTGATGGGATAAAGATAGAATTGTTAAAAGCGGTGGGGATGTAGTTTTGGAGTGGTTAGTGTTTTTATTTAATAAATGTATGGAAGAGGGTAAGGTACCTAGGGACTGGAAGAGAGCATGCAGTTCCTTTGTGTAAAGGCAAAGGGGACAAGAGTAAAAATTACAGGGGAATAAGTCTGTTGAGTATATCTGGTAAAATGTATGGTAGTTATTATTGAAAGAATTAAGAGTAAGACAAGAGAGCAAGATAACAGGTGAACAAGGAGGCTTTAGGAAAGGTAGGGGGTGTGTAGACCAAGTGTTTGCAGTGAAACATGTAAGAAAAGGCATATGATAGGGTGGATAGGGAGGCAGTGTGGCAGATGTTGCAAATGTATGGAATAGGAGGTAGGTTATTGAAAGCAGTGAAGAGTCATTACAAGGATAGTGAGGCTCAGGTTAGAGTATGTAGGTGAGAGGGATTATTTCCCAGTAAAAAAATTTTGGAGTGAGTTAAACAAGTTAAGAAAGCCTAGGGAAAGTATGGATTTGTCAGTTAAAAACAGAGTAGGGGAGTTAGTAGATGGGGAGATGGAGGTATTAGGTAGATGGCGAGAATATTTTGAGGAACTTTTAAATGTTAAGGAAGAAACAGAGGCAGTAATTTCATGCACTGGTCAGGGAGGTATACCATCTTTTAGGAGTGAAGAAGAGCAGAATGTAAGTGTGGGGGAGGTACGTGAGGTATTACGTAAAATGAAAGGGGGTAAAGCAGCTGGAACTGATGGGATCATGACAGAAATGTTAAAAGCAGGGGGGGATATAGTGTTGGAGTGGTTGGTACTTTTGTTTAATAAATGTATGAAAGAGGGGAAGGTACCTAGGGATTGGCGGAGAGCATGTATAGTCCCTTTATATAAAGGGAAAGGGGACAAAAGAGAATGTAAAAATTATAGAGGAATAAGCTTACTGAGTATACCAGGAAAAGTGTACGGAAGGGTTATAATTGAAAGAATTGGAGGTAAGACAGAATGTAGGATTGCGTATGAGCAAGGAGGTTTCAGAGTGGGTAGGGGATGTGTAGATCAAGTGTTTACATTGAAGCATATATGTGAACAGTATTTAGATAAAGGTAGGGAAGTTTTTATTGCATTTATGGATTTAGAAAAGGCATATGATAGAGTGGATAGGGAGAAAATGTGGCAGATGTTGCAAGTATATGGAATAGGTGGTAAGTTTTTAAATGCTGTAAAGATTTTTATGAGGATAGTGAGGCTCAGGTTAGGGTGTGTAGAAGAGAGGGAGACTACTTCCCGGTAAAAGTAGGTCTTAGACAGGGATGTGTAATGTCACCAGGTGTTTAATATATTTATAGATGGGGTTGTAAAGGAAGTAAATGCTAGGGTGTTCGGGAGAGGGGTGGGTTTTAAAATTTTTGGGGGAAAATCAGATTCAAAATGTGAATTGACACAGTTACTTTTTGCTGATGATACTGTGCTTATGGGAGTTTTCTAAAGAAAAATTGCAAAGGTTAGTGGATGAGTTTGGGAATGTGTGAAAAGGTTGAAAGTTGAAAGTGAACATAGAAAAGAGTAAGGTGATGAGGGTGGTCAAATGATTTAGAAAAAGAAAAATTGGATATAAAATTGGGGAGGAGGAGTATGGAAGAAGTGAATGTTTTCAGAGTTTGGGGAGTTGACGTGTCGGGGGAAATGGATTTATGAAGGATGAGGTTAATCATAGAATTGATGAGGGAAAAAGGTGAGTGGTGCGTTGAGGTATATGTGGAGTCAAAAAACATTATCTATGGAGGCAAAAAAGGGGAATGTATGAAAGTATAGTAGTACCAACACTTTTATATGGGTGTGAAGCTTGGGTGGTAAATGCAGCAGCGAGGGGACGGTTGGAGGCAGTGGAATGTCCGGGTTAAAGGGGCAATGTGTGGTGTAAATATTATGCAAAAAATTTCGGAGTGTGGAAATTGGGAAAAGGTGTGGAGTTAATAAAGTATTAGTCAGAGGGCAGAAGAGGGGTTGTTGAGGTGGGTTTGGTCATTTTTGAGAGAATGGGTCAAAGTAGAATGACATGGAAAGCATATAAATCTATAGGGGAAGGAAGGCGGGGTAGGGGTCAAACCTCGAAAGGGTTGGTGAGAGGGGGTAAAGGAGGTTTTGTGGGCAAGGGGCTTGGGCTTCCAGCAAGCGTGGATGAGCGTGTTAGATAGGAGTGAATGGAGACGAATGGTATTGGGGCCTGACGATCTGTGGAGTGTGAGCAGGGTAATATTTAGTGAGGGATTCAGGAAACCGGTTATTTTCATATAGTCGGACTTGAGTCCTGGAAATGGGAAGTACAATACCTGCATTTTAAAGGAGGGGTTTGGGATTTTGGGGCGTTTGGAGGGATTGTTGTGTATGTTTTTGTGTATGCTTTAGATTTGATTCGAGCACCTCGCAAAAAAGTGATAATGTGCGGTGGGGGTGAAAGTTTTTAATGTGATAAAATATTTTTTTTTTGGGATTTTCTTTTTTTTTTTTGGGTCCCCCCTGCCTCGGTGGGAGCGGCCCGACTTGTTGAGAAAAAAAAAAAAAAAAAAAGTGGGGCCTTAGATGGGTTGGGGATGCACCATGGTTTTAACATATTTATAGATAGTTGTAAAGAAGGAATGCTCGGTTTTGGGAAGGGTGGGGGGTTTAAAAGGTAAAAAATTTTAACACAAAGGGGGGAGTTTTCAGGGTTTGCTCTTTGCAAATTTGACGCTGGGGTTTTTGGGAGTTTTCTGAAGAGAATTTGCGGGTTGGCTGATGATTTTGGTAGGGTATGTAAAAGAAGGAAATTAAAATGAATATAGAAAGGTAAGGTGATGAGGATAAAAAAAAAAAAATTTGGTAGGGGGAAGTTTGGGGATATCGACTAGGGAGAGATAGGGAAGGGGGGAATGTTTTTTCAGTACGATTTGGGAGGGGAGGTCAGCGGAGGGGCTATGAAGGTGAGGTAAATCTAGAATTTGCGAGGGGAAAAAAGGGAAAGGTGATGAGGATTTTTTTGGGGAACAAAGAACTTTTCATGTTAGAAAGTGGGAAAAAAAACAAGGTTATTATACCATGCTCTTTATGGGTTGAGGCTGGGTTGTAAATGTTGCAAAAAGGAGAAGGGGTGGAGGCATGGGGGTTATGTCTGAGGCAATGGGGTGAAATATAATGCAGAGAATTCATAGTTTGGAAATTAGGAGGAGGTGTGAGATTACTAAAACTATTATCCAGAGGGCTGATGAGGGGTTCTTGAGGTGGTTTGGAAATGTAGAGAGGATGAAACGAAGTAGAATGACTTCAATAGTGTATAGATCTGTAATGGAGGGAAGGCAGGGTAGGGGTTGGCCTAGGAAAGGTTGGAGGGAGGGAGGTAAAGGAGGTTTTGTGTCGAGGGGCTTGAACTTCCAGCAAGCATGCTTGAGTGTGTTAGATAGGAGCGAATGGAGTCAAATGGTTTTTAGGACTTGACGTGCTGTTGGAGTGTGAGCAAGGTAACTTTTATGAAGGGATTCAGGGAAACCGGCAGGCCAGACTTGATACCTGGAGATGGGAAGTACAGTGCCAGCACTCTGAAGGAAGGGTGCTAATGTTGCAGTTTTATAACTGTAGTGTAAGTATGCCTCTGGCAAGACAGAGATGGAGTGAATGATAATGAATGTTTTTCTTTTTTGGACCACCCTACCTTGGTGGGAAATAGCAGATTTTTTTTTTTTTTTCAACAAGTCGGCCGTCTCCCACCGAGGCAGGGTGACCCAAAAAAGAAAGAAAATCCCCAAAAAGAAAATACTTTCATCATCATTCAACACTTTCACCACACTCACACATTATCACTGCTTTTGCAGAGGTGCTCAGAATACAACAGTTTAGAAGCATATACGTATAAAGATACACAACATATCCCTCCAAACTGCCAATATCCCAAACCCCTCCTTTAAAGTGCAGGCATTGTACTTCCCATTTCCAGATGTGTTAATAAAAAAAAATAATATTGTTCTTAGTTTGAGTTTGCCCAAAATGCTTTACATAATTGTAGGCTTTTCCATGTATTGAACAAACACTTTTCATCTATCTCTGCAACACTAATGTGTCATCTTGGAAAACAATTATTACTGAATGTATATATCTTTATTGGTGGTTTCAACATGGGGATGCAAGGGGAGCTGAAGTCCTCCCCATATTTTCCGATTTTTTAATATATAACATTTTCTTTCAGATGGCTGTAGTATTTAATGAAAGTGGGATTTCTGAGTGCACACTTCCCTGTGTTGCACAGTCATTCATTAACCACGGAGCAATTCTTTACAAGCTTTTTGTCTTGGGACCTGTGTGGTTTGTTATTGTGCGACCATCACTCAAGAACTTCTATGCTGGAGGTATCAGATTTTTCTTTGCATTGTTTAATTAAGTAGGTAATTTTTTTTTTGAAGGTATCAGAATAAGAAATTGATAAATATTAGATTTTGAATAATGTATAGACACTTTTTATGTAATTTTATTCATTAGTTTTGTCTTGACTTTGCTATAACATTAAATTTTATGTTTATATTAAACGTATACATTACTGACAAGTTGATCAATAAGATGCATGTTCAATATCTGGCTATCTTTGTTGCAAAAAATATTTTGCCTGTGCAACAGGCTTTTTTTCAACTCAAATACAAGTGATCTTTCTAGATTTAAGCTAAGTGACAGAACGCCTTACAGTTACCTCTACACATCTTCAGTATAGAAGTTACCACAGTATTTGACTGAAGAAGACTGTTGTGCAGGCACAACATTTCAGCAGTAGTAAAGATACCCATGTATTGCACATGTCTCATTCACAATTATTTTATTTCTGTTAAGTGTAGCATGCCATATAGTGTACTGTATATGGCTGTGCAGTGTTGTTCTTTGTCTCTTAGATAGAGTTTATATGTGTAAAATTGATCTCTCCACTCCTGCCTTAACAAAATATTTGTATTGCTAAAGAGGTTTGCTGGGTTTTCAGAGAAGCAGATTTACTCATAAACATGGGTACTGTATCTATTTAACCCTTTGAGGGTCGAACCCCTGATCTAAAACTTGCTCTCGGGGGCGATTTTCCCACTTTGAGCTCTGTTTTCAGCAAGTTCCATTGTTTCAGTTAACCAAACTCACAGCTGTTTTGCTAGTATTCCTTTTATTCTATGCTTAAGTACAAGAAACTGCCCATTTACCTATTTCAACTACCCAGTGAAGTGATCAGAAATTGGTAATTTGGCCAATTTCACACAAAATTAAACAATTTCCAATTTAAAAATAGGGTCCAGAATAAACAGTGTAGATGTTCTTGGCACTAAAAAAATAATTTCCTCTGTTCATTAGTTACATCCCCAGGCCTCTCTTATATTATTCTTTCTTTCCATTTTGAATTTTTATTTACACAAAAAATAAATATTTACTGTTATGCAGATTACTGCATTATTGTAATAATTGTATTAATAATGTCAGTGCATTCCAAAATGCGTATTAGATTGGGAAGTTCGACACATATATTCGTAAAAATCAAACATATCTGCTGTTTTTGAGCTCAAGTTCAAGCTATTCTCAGTCCAGAAACCAATCAAAATCATCTTTATTTCTGTAATATATCTTCTGTTGTAATGAATGAGACCAAGAAACCAAGAATACAACCATAAAGATCATAGGAAAATACACTGCAAAGTTGCTTTTTAAACCAAAAACATGGTTGCAGTGTTTTCCCATTGTGCACTGCTTGCTGCAGGATTTTTATTATATGGTGCACACTTACCGTACAGATCCATTCTCTCATATCTAGGACCAAATTTATCGCTCATAGCTTATATGGGTGAGCTGAGCTCATGGCATAGAACTATGGGACCGACCCTGGCTTCAAAGCAGTAGAACTACGGGACCAATTCCGAAAGGGTTAAAACAATTGAATGTTTATTGTGCTGTGTGCATACTGCATTTTTTTTTTCTGTTATCTTTACTCAGCAGCACTTTGTAGAATACCTAGTGTCAATTCAAGTTATTTTTCTGACTTGTCTTCTTCATCTTGAAGATTGTTCTTTTTGATCATGTACAGTGGACCCCCGCATAACGATTACCTCCGAATGCGACCAATTATGTAAGTGTATTTATGTAAGTGCGTTTGTACGTGTATGTTTGGGGGTCTGAAATGGACTAATCTACTTCACAATATTTCTTATGGGAACAAATTCGGTCAGTACTGGCACCTGAACATACTTCTGGAGTGAAAAAATATCGTTAACCGGGGGTCCACTGTATTTTGTATATTTAATTAGCATTTAATTTTATCTAGTTTTAATTATGGTTTTAGATTTTTATTGATTTCAACAACTTAATTATTTAAGAAAAAGTCACATATTGTTTTTTATTTGGTTTCCAGTAAAGATTTACATCCCAAAATATTGCATGATTATGTTTATGTGCTCCTGTTGTGATAATTTATCTGTAAATATTATTATCCTTATTATGATTTGATTACTATACCTATTATTTTCTTTTCAGTTGATGGTTGCTTTGATATTAACAAGCTTGCAGGTACATAATATACACTCTATTATAATATTGTACTGTAGACTTGGGGTATTATAATATTGTACTGTAGACTTGGGGTATTCCACATTCATTAGGTATAGTGAGCAGATGTGTAATATAGCACTGGGTCTTGCTTGATGCTTAGTTGATTATTTTTACTTGAGGAACTTATCAGGTTTCCTCTTGAAGACAGCACAAAGAGAGGGTGTTGAAAAGTCTAGGCCCCTCTTTTTTATTGGAGGTACTTTGCATCATCTCTCATTTGGAGTGATTTCAGTATGCAGATTTGAAATCAGTGCTTCCAGATTTTTCCAAGTGTAAATTATGATGTATTTTTCTTGCCTATTTTTCAAGGAGTATAGTTCAAGGGGCTTCCAGTGTTTCCAGTAGTTCAAATACTTCACTGAATTTATTCAGGCACTAAAGGTTCTCTGAACATTTTTCATCTCTGTAATCTCTCCTGTCCTGAAGGGGGCCATTTGCATCCAGCAGCATTCCAGCCTAGGAGAGCAAGTGACTTGAAGAGAATCATCATTGGCTTGACATCTCTTGTTTTCAGTGTTCAAGTTATCCAGCCTATCATTTTCCTTGTGGTTGCAATAGTAACAGTGTTGCGATCCTTGAGTGTGATATCCTCTGTCATTGTTACTTGAAGTCTCACATATTGAACTTCAGTCTTAATTTCCTCAGTTCTTCCAAAGTGAAGAAAATGAAATTTGTTCTCTTTAAACATCAATTTGTTGTCTCTGGCTTGCTGGAAGACTTTATATTTACATGAAGGTTTGCTGTGTCCTCAGCAGATGACACTTGTAAATTTTAGTGTCATCAGCAAAGAATGATATAGCACTGTGATTTATGTCCTGCTTACATTAGATATAAGAATGAGAAACTTGGGTGAAATATTGTGCCTTCAACTACTTTTTACTGTGGCAGCCTCTATTTCACTATTACTCTGAGGTCTGTTTGTTAAGATGTTAAAAAAATCTATCTGTCCTCTTTTCCAGTTATTCCTTTTGGACACATTTCATATGCTATTACACCATGGTCACACCTGTAAAACTAATTAATAAATTGAAAGTACACTAAAGTATACATATTCAGTATTATCTTGAATTTTTGATCAGAAAAACCTCCAAAAAAATTATGGTGGCAACAATCTCTACTAATAATCATGGTTTCTACTGATTCCTCTATTACAACTCAACATAGTGAAAATACTGTACTGATGGATGCAATTATGCAAGTTCTTTATTTTTAACCGATTTTGGTGATAAGTATAGCTAAAATTAAATTTTAATCAATATATTTATCACACCTTAAGGTTGAGAATATAAAGTGCCCTCCTTTTTAGCACTGTAGTCTGCCTAACAGCATGATAGCACTTAGTACAGCATAGTATTAATGGGGACTTGGTGACCCCCAGAAAGAGAGGAAAGCAGAGAGGGGAGTGAGGAGAAGGGGAGGAGAGGGAGAGAGGGAGGACAAAAGCTTCTCTTGTCCATGATAGAGGCCACTGATCTAGCCAACCCGAGCCAGTAATAAGTGAACATATTGTAATTAATTAATGTTACTTTTTCTTTGTAATTCTTAAATTTTCTCACATTCAGCTGTATAAAGTGTAGGATAGCACTCTCTTAGATCATTGTAATAATGTTGGTAGAATTACCGACAATATGTAAAGTAAAAGGACACAAGTGCAACTAATGTGACATTTTATTGTGGCAACATTTCGCTCTCCAGGAGCTCCTGGAGAGCGAAATGTTGCCACAATAAAATGTCACATTAGTTGCACTTGTGTCCTTTTACTTTACTCTTTGATCATGTTGTTGATGTAAAAACAAGCTTTTGCATGCTTGGGTTGCTGAGTACAGTATTGTACATTTATAAACCCCCCTCAGTTTCAGCAGCATCATCAGCTTTGAGCATGAGACTGACGAGTCATTCCTGGTTATATTTTATTATCCAAGAAATTGGATATAACTTCACTTTTTTGAGTGATGATGAATTCAAAATGGAGGGCAAGTGTAATACAGGAGAGGCTTCAAGATGTGATTAATGAACAGCAGAAATATTACTTTAGAGCATTTAATAATACCTATAATTCTTCTTTCAACAAACCGGCCGTATCCCACCGAGGCAGGGTGGCCCAAAAAGAAAAACAAAAGTTTCTCTTTTTAAATTTAGTAATTTATACAGGAGAAGGGGTTACTAGCCCCTTGCTCCCGGCATTTTTGTCGCCTCTTACAACACGCATGGCTTATGGAGGAAGAATTCTGCTCCACTTTTCCATGGAGATAAGAGGAAATAAACAAGAACAAGAACTAGAAAGAAAATAACAGAAAACCCAGAGGGGTGTGTATATATATGCTTATACATGTATGTGTAGTGTGACCTAAGTGTAAGTAGAAGTAGCAAGACACACCTGAAATCTTGAATGTTTATGAGACAGAAAAAAAGGACACCAGCAATCCTACCATCATGTAAAACAATTACAGGCTTTCGTTTTACACTCACTTGGTAGGACGGTAGTACCTCCCTGGGTGGTTGCTGTCTACCAACCTACTACCTAGGAATACCTATAATAGTTTTACTAAATAAGTTCCATGTTTGACTCTTAAATTATTGCTATTCTTTGCTCAATTCTTAGTACAACACAATTACACACACAAACACACTTATAGACATGGCACTATAGAGCTGCACTATATGCATGTGTGAAGTATGACCATTCTTTTCCTGATTGCTTTCTAAATGAATAACTCATTTTTAAATTGAAAATTCACGAACACAACTTGTTTGTATGTTGGGGACATTCTGCATTTGCCATGTTGGTTATTTGAAGGTTGGTTGTAAAAAGTTACTGTAGTCTAATTCAGCATTTTGTCCTTTGACTTCAGTGATGAGTATTCTTTTAAAATAGGATCAGATGCCTCGGTGGGAGACGGCCGACTTGTTGAAAAAAAAAAAAAATCATATTTACACTATTGCACAATGGATGTTTAACTAGTGTAATCATTTTCCTTTCAATATCCCAAGTCTGCCCAGTTGCAATATTTATATCAAATCATTTTTATACTTCCAGTATGTTTAATTAAAACTTAGTGCTAATTCTGACAGCATTTGTGATCTTGATTAATGGTACTTGTTGCTCAAGTCATATTTTTATTTATAATAATAATAATAAATAATAATAATAATAATAATAATAATAATAATAATAATAAATAAATAAGTATAAAAATGCTTTGTGGATTTTATTTATATATTTATTTGTTTATTTATTATTTATTAAGTTCATTCTGTATTATGTATATTTTTTCATATTTTTAATTTAGTATGAATTACAAGCAATATATAATTTTTCAGTACAGTAATGTGAATAAAAAGAAAGATAAATTATTAATGTATGTATTATGTATAACAAAGTATTGGCAGTTTGGAGGGACATCTAAATTGTCATATCTGAGTGCCTCTGCAAGGACAGTGATTATGTATGAGTGATGATGAAAGTTTTTTCTTCGTATTTGGGTCACCCTGCCTCGGTTGGAAACAGGCGATGTTTTAAAAAAAAAAATTCGACTTCAACATTTTGCAAAAAAGTAAAAGTTAGTGAGATTTAAGTTATAAATAAAGATAACCAAGTTCTCACACATTCTGTTTTGATTGCTACTTCAATACCCTGGTGCGATGTCTCTTATCTTCCCACCTCTCATAAAATCCCACCTATAATGTAGATTCTTATCTGTTTTTTTGACTGTTGACCTCCTGCACCAGATTTGTTCCTGTCCTCAGTACTGTAATTTACTCCATCTTTTTTAATCAGTAATGGTGATAATGACAGCATTTTTTCTTTATAATCTAGTGACAGTTCTGAATATCACATCAGCTTATTATATTTCTAATGAATATAACAATTGAAAGAGAGACTGTTTCAGCACTTGATAAGTTCCATTATCTATCTTTTTAATGACTTTATTAAAATTCAGCAATACTTTTGTACATAGTTTTAATCCTATTTATAATGCTGTATTTATTGGCTTTAAAAAGTATAGTAAATTTGATAGTTTCACCAATCCAGTTGCCTCTGATGGGGCACCAAGTTGCTCATTTACACACATTATTGTGATTTTTGTGTGAACAAAAATCACAGTAATATTTGTACTTCATAACTTTATAATATCTGAGGAATTAACCTTGTCTGTGCTTCCTTCCAGGCACGTGAAAAAGAAAAAAAAATTTGATTTGTAACATTTAGTATTCATTGATCCTTGTGTATCTGTAATCTTGCAGAGTATTTGTCTTCAGTTTTGTTTGTAACTTAAAGAAGGGTGCCTTGATTCTGGTGAAGGATTCTTGATCCAAGGAATTGCAGCTAGTCTCACCTTCCCTGGATCAAATCTGACTACCTCCCATTACCCAGGCACTGTATGACCTCCCTATAAATTTAATACTTCCTCATGATTATAATAGAATAATACTTTCCATTTCCTTTTAAAGCATTTTTTATATCTCTGTTAAGGGCACAAGATTTTCTAAATATTTTTATGTTAATGTGTGTTTGCTCATTTATGATCCTTTTCTGCTTAACCCAATAGAGGCAGTTTGACTCTTATAATTTTGGGGATTAAATAATATACATCATTGTGAAAGTGTCAGCATAGTAAATTTTAATTATTTTTAATTACTGTGTAATTAAATTGTGTGTTTATTTTAAGGCTTAATTTACTGTTTCCTTTGTGAACTCAAATAGATGACTGAGTGATGTTTATAAATCCTAGCTATATCTTTTGTGCCTTTCAAGATAGCAGTCCAGTTGGACTTGATCACCTGTGGTCACTACTGTGGGGAAAGTGAAAGTGGGTATGCCTTGTTCCATTGGTGATTCTTCTTTCTGGACACCTACACCAATAGTACATACTACTATTGGTGTAGGTATCCAACAATAATGGTACTATTGGTAGATACCAATAGTAGTACTATTGGTGCCAATATTACCATTTTTTCTCTCTGTTTTGTCTTACTGTGCATGAACATGCAGGTGAGGAAAAAAAAGGACTGTGGAAATACCTTTGTTGCCAGATCAATGTAACAGTGGAGAAAATAGAGTAGTAGATGAGTAAAAAATCATTAATGGATGAATGGTTACACATTTTACAATGCTCACAATAGTGTTTTCACAGGCTAAGAGACCAGCTAGTTTACCACCTAGTAATAAAACCAATTTGTGTTTTGATAGACAATGTTTCTAAAGCACTTTTGTGTTCTTGAAGTAGAGCAGGAAACAGTGCACTTCAACTCCAATAATGTGTCCAAAGCGGATTCTCAGTCTCCGCTCACTCAGCTTGATCCCGGCGACAAGAAGGAAGATTTACCGAAAGCTGATCCAGCAGTATTCAATAGGTATAGTATAATTGATCTTCTTATCATAAGAAACAATACTCTTTTGCTTTTCTCCATCCTTATGTACTCTCAGCAAACAGGGTTTAGTTTCATTGTAGATCCTGCACGTACAGTAAAGTACCTTCATTTTGATTAATGCACAGTACAGTATATAATCTCCTACACGTTCTTACAGAGTTATAGGTATCTATGTATACATTGTGCCAGACCTCACTGTCCATACAGCTGTTTTATGTTATGAGGAAGAGACTTAGAGTAGTATATAGAAAGAGTAATAATGTTAAATATATGATGCTGGAAATGGGAAGTACAATGCCTGCACTCTAAAGGAGGGGTTCGGGATATTGGCAGTTTGGAGGGATATGTTGTGTATCTTTATATGTATATGCTTCTAAACTGTTGTGTTCTGAGCACCTCTGCAAAAACAGTGATTATGTGTGAGTGTGGTGAAAATGTTAAATGATGATGAAAGTATTTTCTTTTTGGGGATTTTCTTTCTTTTTGGGTCACCCTGCCTCGGTGGGAGACGGCCGACTTGTTAAAAAAAAAAAAAATGATGTTGCTATGTTATACAGGCAGGCCCTGCTTTACAGTGCTTTGCTAATACAGCGGGTTTTCAATTACACCCATCCTTCATTTATTCAGACTTTCTACAAAAAATATTTTCACCAATCACTGTAAGCTAAGGATGAAAATATTTTAAGGTAAGTAGTGTGTTATAGGTAGTAGGTTGGTAGACAGCAACCGCCCAGGGAGGTACTACCGTCCTGCCAAGTGAGTGTAAAATGAAAGCCTGTAATTGTTTTACATGATGGTAGGATTGCTGGTGTCCTTTTTTCTGTCTCATGAACATGCAAGATTTCAGGTACGTCTTGCTACTTCTACTTACACTTAGGTCACACTACACATACATGTACAAGCACATATATACGCACCCCTCTGGGTTTTCTTCTATTTTCTTTCTAGTTCTTATTCTTGTTTATTTCCTCTTATCTCCATGGGGAAGTGGAACAGAATTCTTCCTCCGTAAGCCATGCGTGTTGTAAGAGGCGACTAAAATGCCGGGAGCAAGGGGCTAGTAACCTCTTCTCCTGTATATATTACTAAATGTAAAAGGAGAAACTTTTGTTTTTCCTTTTGGGCCACCCCACCTCGGTGGGATACGGCCGGTGTGTTGAAAGAAAGAAAGAAGAAGTAGTGTGTGTATTGTATATGCATTTCTTAGGCCTAGCTCTGTTGCTCACTTTATATATGATAGTCTGAACATGTTATCAGGCTTTTATATATGTACATTTGAAAGTGAAAAAAGGCTGTTTCACTTTACAGCAATTTTTGCTTTACAGCAGTAGCCTGGAACCTAACCTGCTGTATAAGTGAAGCCTACCTGTATATATTCAGATAAAACTTAGGCCTCCCACAGGTGGGGCGTAACTTTGGTATAAATATCTGTTACACTGCAAATGCACCCTCTTACCTTGGAGGATGTTATGTATTTGGAAACTTTATTGCTTGTATTAATAATGTGTAATTCATTGTTTTCATTACTTATGGTTTTGTGCCATGGGCTGTCTTCCCATCACTACAGTTGATTTTACATTTGTTATCCACACATGTACTTTTAAAAATTTTGATGTACTACAATACTGTATGCAGTATGACACTATGCATGGTATTGATTTGAGTTGATAACACATTTGGCATCAGTCTGAAAACAAGTACAGTAGGGCCCCACTTTATGATGTTTCACCTTGCAACGTTCCACTAATACAGACATTTCAAATTATGACCAAAACTCTCTATATGGCTCCCCCACCTGACTTTCTAATACGGTCACCACGGGCCACCCGACTTGTTTACATTCTCCGTGAGCACAACTTTCCATTATGTCTGGAAACTTTCCAAAATTTCAAGTGTTTGAAAGTTATTTCATATTTTATATATACTCTGATAATTATACTTATGTGTACCTGTACCTAAATAAACTTACACCCTGTGCTGGAGTGCAGGTACATCTTAAAATCACTAAGACTATTTTATTAGTCTTGAAAATTATTCCTTTTGTATGCCTTCATTCATAGTGTTATTCCTTCTAAAAATGGTATGTTTCATGAGAATGGGAGTTTTGCTCTTTATTTATTCTACTTTACCAATGTGAAGACAACTTATACACAATGTAAGGTGTTTGTATTATGGTATTAAATTCACAGACATGGAAATAAACGTGTATTATCCAAAACCAGATGTGTTCACTTGTTTGTTTACATACTCTGTGGCTCTGTCCTCTCTCATTTACTCATTCTCTCTCTCTCTCGTTTATTCGTTTTTATGTTGTTTACTCACCTCTAACCTTACATTAAGACTACAAGTATTTTAAGGTAAGTAATGAGTGTACTGTATATGTATTTTATTGCTCTAGGGTGTTTTAAATGTTGTAGTATATTATGTGTGAGTGGGTTGGCCAGGGCTACCATACCTCCCACACCTGACTTCTTATAATAAATACTACTTACCTCTCACCCTACATCAAGACTACAAATATTTTGAGGTAAGTAATGAGTGTACTGTGTGTGTAGTTTAATTTTTATTGTTTTTTAATGCCTAGTTCTATTGCTAACTTAATATATGTTAGTGTAAACTTGTTATCTGGCATTTATATGCATTTATAAGTGGAAAAAATGGTGTTCTGCTTTCCAGCAGTAGCCTGGACCCTAACCTGCCATATAAGTTAGGCCCTACTGTACTGTGTTTTCAGTTTAATGGAGAGTCATTATTTCTAGACAGTGCCCCAGAAATGCTCAATTTTATCTCTTACATCATGAATAATTGATAGATATTGAATGTTGTACATATTTTCATGCTATAAATTAGAAAACCTCTCTCATAATTGTTTCTACAGGATTGTAACAAATCTTCGTGATGCACTGAATATGGATCTTCTTGGTATTGATGTTGTGATTGATAGCTGCACTGGAAAATATGGCATCATTGATGTTAATGCATTTCCTAGTAAGTGCATAGATTTTTTTATTTTTTTAATATCTTGGAAGTATTTGGTAAATGCTATTCAGATGGTAATTTTTCTGATTTTTTTTTAGCTTATTTTATTTGCTATGTTCCATGTTTCTGCTACAGCTCGGCATTTGTAAAACTTAAATTAGTTCATGTGTATCCCATTTGCAAGTGTGCACCTTAAGGTAAGCTATTGACCTCCTGTAAAAGTATGACAATAAACACTAATCTTGCATAGATCATAAGATATAGGTCTGTATAAGTGTACAAACAGTTAAGATGTGTAGTGGAGTGCTGAAGGTGCATGAGTGTTGTGGAGGGTTGTTGAGAGAGAGAGAGTGAGTGAGAGAGAGTGTGAGAATGAGTGAAAGTGAGAGTGTGTGAGAATGAGTGAGAGAGAGAGAGAAGAGAGTGTGTGAGAATGAGTGAGAGAGTGTGAGAGTGAGTGTGTGTGTGTGTGTGTGTGTGTGTGTGTGTACTCACCTAGTTGTACTCACCTAGTTGAGGTTGCGGGGGTCAAGTCCGAGCTCCTGGCCCTGCCTCTTCACTGATCGCTACTAGGTCACTCTCCGTGAGCCGTGAGCTTTATTATACCTCTGCTTAAAGCTATGTATGGATCCTGCCTCCACTACATCGCTTCCCAAACTATTCCACTTACTGACTACTCTGTGGCTGAAGAAATACTTCCTAACATCCCTGTGATTCATCTGTGTCTTCAGCTTCCAACTGTGTCCCCTTGTTACTGTGTCCAATCTCTGGAACATCCTGTCTTTGTCCACCTTGTCAATTCCTCTCAGTATTTTGTATGTCGTTATCATGTCCCCCCTATCTCTCCTGTCCTCCAGTGTCGTCAGGTTGATTTCCCTTAACCTCTCCTCGTAGGACATACCTCTTAGCTCTGGGACTAGTCTTGTTGCAAACCTTTGCACTTTCTCTAGTTTCTTCACGTGCTTGGCTAGGTGTGGGTTCCAAACTGGTGCCGCATACTCCAATATGGGCCTAACGTACACGGTGTACAGGGTCCTGAATGATTCCTTATTAAGATGTCGGAATGCTGTTCTGAGGTTTGCTAGGCGCCCATATGCTGCAGCAGTTATTTGGTTGATGTGCGCTTCAGGAGATGTGCCTGGTGTTATACTCACCCCAAGATCTTTTTCCTTGAGTGAGGTTTGTAGTCTCTGACCCCCTAGACTGTACTCCGTCTGCGGCCTTCTTTGCCCTTCCCCAATCTTCATGACTTTGCACTTGGTGGGATTGAACTCCAGGAGCCAATTTCTGGACCAGGTCTGCAGCCTGTCCAGATCCCTTTGTAGTTCTGCCTGGTCTTCGATCGAGTAAATTCTTCTCATCAACTTCACGTCATCTGCAAACAGGGACACCTCAGAGTCTATTCCTTCCGTCATGTCGTTCACAAATACCAGAAACAGCACTGGTCCTAGGACTGACCCCTGCGGGACCCCGCTGGTCACATGTGCCCACTCTGACACCTCGCCACGTACCATGACTCGCTGCTGTCTTCCTGACAAGTATTTCCTGATCCATTGTAGTGCCTTCCCTGTTATCCCTGCTTGGTCCTCCAGTTTTTGCACCAATCTCTTGTGTGGAACTGTGTCAAACGCCTTCTTGCAGTCCAAGAAAATGCAATCCACCCACCCCTCTCTCTCTTGTCTTACTGCTGTCACCATGTCATAGAACTCATCACACACAGGTTTGTGACACAGGATTTCCCGTCCCTGAAACCATGTTGGCTGCTGTTGATGAGATCGTTCCTTTCTAGGTGTTCCACCACTCTTCTCCTGATAATCTTCTCCATGATTTTGCATACTATACATGTCAGTGACACTGGTCTGTAGTTTAATGCTTCATGCATGTGTGCATGCATGTGTGCATACATGTGTGTGTGCATGTGTGCATGCATGTGTGTGTGTGTGGTGTGTGTGTGTGTGTGTGTGTGTGTGTGTACTCACCTATTTGTACTCACCTATTTGTGGTTGCAGGGGTCGAGTCCTAGCTCCGGGCCCCGCCTCTTCACCGGTTGCTACTAGGCCCTCTCTCTCCCCGCTCCATGAGCTTTATCAAACCTCGTCTTAAAACTGTGTATGGTTCCTGCCTCCACTACGTCATTTTCTAGGCTATTCCACTGCCTTACAACTCTATGACTGAAGAAATACTTCCTACTATCTCTCTGACTCATTTGTGTCTTCAAACTTCCAATTGTGGCCTCTTGTTTCTGTGTCCCCTCCCTGGAACATCCTGTCTTTGTCCACCTTGTCTATTCCACGCAGTATTTTATATGTCGTTATCATGTCTCCCCTGACCCTCCTGTCCTCCAGTGTGGTCAGGCCGATTTCCCTTAATCTTTCCTCATAGGACATTCCCCTTAGCTCCGGAACTAACCTTGTCGCAAACCTTTGTACTTTCTCTAGTTTCTTGACGTGCTTTATCAAGTGCGGGTTCCAAACAGGTGCTGCATACTCCAGTATGGGCCTGACATACACGGTGTACAGTGTCTTGAATGATTCCTTACTAAGGTATCGGAATGCTGTTCTCAGGTTTGCCAGGCGCCCATATGCTGCAGCAGTTATCTGATTGATGTGTGCTTCCGGAGACATGCTCGGTGTTTATACTCACCCCAAGATCTTTCTCCTTGAGTGAGGTTTGCAGTCTTTGGCCACCTAGCCTATACTCTGTCTGTGGTCTTCTGTGCCCCTCCCCCATCTTCATGACTTTGCATTTGGCAGGATTAAATTCGAGAAGCCATTTGCTGGACCAGGTGTCCAGTCTGTCCAGGTCTCTTTGAAGTCCTGCCTGGTCCTCATCAGATTTAATTCTCCTCATTAACTTCACATCATCTGCAAACAGGGACACTTCTGAGTCTAACCCTTCCGTCATGTCGTTCACATATACCAAAAATAGCACTGGTCCTAGGACCGACCCCTGTGGGACCCCGCTCGTCACAGGTGCCCACTGATACATCATTACGTACCATGACTCGTTGTTGCCTCCCTGTCAGGTATTCTCTGATCCATTGCAGTGCCCTTCCTGTTATATGCGCCTGATGCTCTAGCTTCTGCACTAATCTCTTGTGAGGAACTGTGTCAAAGGCCTTCTTGCAGTCCAAGAAGATGCAGTCAACCCACCCCTCTCTCTCTTGTCTTACTTCTGTTATTTTATCATAAAACTCCAGAAGGTTTGTGACACAGGATTTGCCTTCCGTGAATCCGTGCTGGTTGGCATTTATACTCTTGTTCCGTTCCAGGTGCTCCACCACTCTCCTCCTGATAATCTTCTCCATAATTTTGCATACTATACACGTCAATGACACAGGTCTATAGTTTAGTGCCTCTTTTCTGTCTCCTTTTTTAAAAATGGGAACTACATTTGCCGTCTTCCATACCTCAGGTAGTTGCCCAGTTTCCAGGGATGTGTTGAAGATTGTGGTAAGTGGCATGCACAACATATCTGCTCCCTCTCTAAGGACCCAGGGGGAGATGTTGTCTGGTCCCATTGCCTTTGAGGTATCGATGTCCCTTAGCAGTTTCTTCACCTCCTCCTCATCTGTATGTATGTCGTCCAACACTTGTTGGTGTATTCCTTGCTGGTGTCCCCATCTGGTCTGTCCCCCCAGAGTCCTTCCTGTCTCTACTGTAAATACTTCCTTAAATCTCTTGTTTAGCTCCTCACATACCTCTTGATCGTTTCTTGTGAGTTCTCCACCTTCTTTCCTCAGCCTTATCACCTGGTCCTTGACTGTTGTCTTCCTCCTAATGTGGCTATACAGCAGTTTCGGGTCAGATTTGACTTTCGATGCTATTCGTTTTCATACTGTCGCTGGGCCTCCCTCCTTATCTGTGCATACTCGTTTCTGGCTCTTCTACTAATCTCCTTGTTTTCCTGGGTCCTATGCCTCCTGTACCTTTTCCATTCTGTGTGTGTGTGTGTGTGTGTGTGCGTGTGTGTGCATGTGTGTGCGTGTGTGTGGTGTGTGTGTGTGTGTGTGTGTGTGTGTGTGTGTGTGTGTGTGTGTGTGTGTGTATGTGTGTGTGTGTACTCACCTAATTGTGGTTGCAGGGGTCAAGACTCAGCTCCTGGCCCTGCCTCTTCACTGATCGCTACTAGGTCCTCTCTTTCTCTCTCTGCTTCCTGAGCTTTGTCATACCTCGTCTTAAAGCTATGTATGGTTCCTGCCTCCACTACGTCACTTGCTAGGCTATTCCACTTCCTGACGACTCTATGACTGAAGAAATACTTCCTAACATCTCTCTGACTCGTCTGAGTCTTCAGCTTCCAATTGTGGCCCCTTGTTTCTGTGTCCCCTCTATGGAACATCCTGTTTCTGTCCACCTTATCTATTCCACGCAGTATCTTGTATGTCATTATCATGTTTCTCCTGGCCCTTCTGTCCTCCAGTGTCGTAAGTCTGATTTCCCTCAACCTTTCATCATAGGACATTCCCCTGACCTCTGGAACTAGCCTTGTTGCAAACCTTTGCACTTTCTCTAACTTCTTGACGTGCTTGACCAGGTGTGGGTTCCAAACTGGTGCTGCATACTCCAGTATGGGCCTGATGTACACAGTGTAGTGTTTTGAACGATTCCTTATTAAGGTATCGGAACGCTATTCTCAGGTTTGCCAGGCCCCCATGTGCTGCAGCAGTTATCTGGTTGATGTGTGCCTCTGGAGACATGCTCTGTGTTATGGTCACCCCAAGATCTTTCTCCTTGAGTGAGGTTTGCAGTCTTTGTCCACCTAGCCTATACAGTGGACCCCCGGTTAACGATATTTTTTCACTCTGGAAGTATGTTCAGGTGCCAGTACTGACCAAATTTGTTCCCATAAGGAATATTGTGAAGTAGATTAGTCCATTTCAGACCCCCAAACATACACGTACAAACGCACTTACATAAATACACTTACATAATTGGTCGCATTCGGAGGTAATCATTATGCGGGGGTCCACTGTACTCTGTCTGCGGTCTTCTTTGCCCTTCTCTGAT